TGTGTGTATATGAGTGTGTGTTGGGGGGTGGGGATCTTTAGAAGAATGCAATTTCCATGCAATATAAACAGAAAGACTGTTTTACAAAAATTCGGGAGCAGGCACCTGCTGATCTACTCTAGTGCGCAATATTAAACCAGTTATATCTGTCATGAAATCATATATAAATGCCTAAGGCTTTGGAAAATTAAAGTTTATGAGACTTAAAATTTTCATCCATAGGTCGACTATGGATTGGTTCAGAATAGGATTGCCAGATTTCCTTTGGAAAATGCACTCTACAATCTGTCTAGTGTATCAGCCAAGAGAAAAGCATAGTATTGGAACTTCGGTCAAAGATATTAAAGGAGGACGCTGTTTAAATAAAGAAAGTGTAACGGGGCACAAAGAAATCTTATACCTTTAACAGAGAAAGAAAGATGTCAGAGGTTTTTTTTTTTTTTTGTTTTTGTATGTTTTTCTATGTTCAGAAGGTTTAATATTATGTTAACTTTAATATTCAGCTTTTCCAGCTTGCATGATATTAAGATAAAGGTATCGTTTGTAATATAAAAATAATATATTATTGATATTCTTTGATATGAAATTTACCCCGAGTCTTTTTGTCATCAAGATGTAATGCATGCTTTTTCTGTAAACAATATATACAGAATTAGTTTATTTTATGAGAGGAAATTTACCTTGAAAAGTTCTGCTTTTTTCAAAAAGTAATATTTGTTTTATTCTGTGAATTATATAAACTGCAGCAGTGATATTCTTTGTGTGTGTGTATGGGGGGGGGGGGGTATCCCGTAAAGTCTTGCTATCATCGAGTTGCAGTGTTTGTTCATGCTTTGAATAACATAAACTGTATTATTGATAGTCTTTGGGAGGTATTTACCCCGTACATACTTGCTATTGTCAAAGTTTAATGTTTCTTTTTTTAAGTATGATGTAAACTGTATTAGTAATATTTTTTAGAGGAAATTTTCCCCGTAAATTTTTACTACCTCCAAGATATTGCAAAGCATAAATTCTGTATCAGTGATATTCTTGCGGGGGGGGGGGGGGGTTACCCCGTAAAGTCTTGCCATCTTAAAGATGGGTGTTTTTGCTTTGAAATACTGTATATAAACTGTATTAATGTAATTTTTAATAGGAAAATTACCTTATAGATTGTAACCATCTTATAGATGTTTGCGAATCAAAGATACTGTTTCAGTGATTTTCTTTGGGGGGAAATTTACCCCGTAAAGTCTTGCTATCATCAAGATGGTTGCCTTTGCTTTCAACACTGTATATAAACTGAATCAATGTCATTTTTGAGAGGAAATTTACCCTGTAGAGTTCTGCGATTTTCAAAGTGTACTATTCGCTTTTTATAAGAGTAATGAATACTGTATCAGTGATGCCTTCTTTGGAGGGAAATTTACCCCGTAAAGTCTTACTATCTAAAGGATTGGTGGTTTTGCTTTGAATTAATATATGGAAACTGTATCGATGTTATTTTTGAGAGGCAGTTTACCCCGAAAATTTGTTGCTATCTTTAAGATGTTGTGAATCATAAAAACTATATCAGTTATTTTCTTTGGGGGGAAATTTACCCCGTTAAGTCTTGCTATCTAAACGATGAATGTTTTTGCTTTTAATACTGTATATAAACTGTATCAATATCATCTCTGAGAGGAAATTTACCCTGTAGAGTTCTGCGATTTTTCAAAGTGTAATGTTCGCTTTTTCTACGTATAAGATAAACTGTATCAATAATTATTTTAAGAGGAAATTTACCCTGTAGATTTTTGTTGCCGCCAAGATATTGTGAAGCATAAATTCTGTATGAGTGATATTCTTTTGGGGGAAATTTACCCCTTAAAGTTTTGCTATCTAAAATATGGTTGTTTTTGCTTTGAAATACTGTGTATAAACTACATCAATGTCATTTTTGAGAGAAAAATTACCCCATAGATTGTTGCCTTCTTCACGATGTTTGCGAATCATAAATACTGTATTAGTGACTTTATTTGGGGGGAAATTTACCCCGTAAAGTCTTGCTATCATCAAGATGGTTGCATTTGCTTTCAAACACTGTATATAAACTAAATCAATGTTTTTTTGAGAGGAAATTTACCCTGTAGAGTTCTGCAAGTTTTAAAGTGTAATGTTCGCTTTTATAAGAGTAGTGAATACTGTATCAGCTAGAGATATTCTTTGGGGGGAAATTTACCCCGTAAAATCTTGCTTTCTACAAGATTGGTGTTTTGCTTAGAAATACTGCACTAGTGTATAAAATGTATCAATATGAATTTTGAGAGAAAAATTACTATATAGATTGTTGCCATCTTCACGATGTTTGCGAATCATAAATACTGTATTAGTGCTTTTCTTTGGGGGGAAATTTACCCCGTTAATCCTGCTATCATCAAGATGGTTGCTTTTGCTTTCAAACACTGTACATAAACTGAATCAATGTCATTTTTGAGAGGAAATTTACCCTGTAGAGTTCTGCGATTTTCAAAGTGTAATGTTCGCTTTTTATAAGAGTAGGGAATACTGTAACAATGATATTCTTTGGGGGAAATTTACCCCGTAAAGTCTTGCTATCTAAAAGATTGTTGCTTTTGTTTTGAATTACTGTAAATACACTGTTTCAATGTCATTTTTGAGAGGAAATTTACCCTGTAGTTTTTTGCTATCTTTAAGATGTGAATCAATGATTTTCTTTCGGGGGAAATTTACTCCGTAAAGTCTTGCTAAATTGTCAATAGTTCCTCCAAATATTGACAGTTTATTTGTGACACTAGATCGTGTTTCTATTAGAAAAACGCTGATATTTCACAATCTTATGAATAAATATCTTATAAAACTGTGTTCTTTTGTTAGATTTTGTCAATACCTGAGGGCAAAATGCCTAAAACAGAAAAAAAGATTTTCTGTTTTGATTTTGGAATGCGTTGTTTATAATATATACATGATATATAGACTTCAGTTCTGTAAGCAGAGAGGCTTAGAAAGGCATTGAAAATATGTATCCATTAGCTACAGTTGATGTGATAAAAATATTGGACATTTGTTGATATTACCAAGTTCTTTCGTGCTGTTTTGCTTGACATGAATGATGCATTCGAGAATAGCTCTTATGTAACCTGTAATGAATAATGTGATAATAATGATATCAAAATAATTTTTTAACGTCTAATGCCCTAGTCTTGGGTTTGGGGTGAAGCACGTTTCCATTACAGTAATCCTCATGCTCTCCAATTGATAGTTAAGATAGTATGAAGCTTCCCAGTTCGAGTTATCATAAGACTAATATTGAACGAATTGTCCATCAAGCCTAGTACTGTGTGACGCCAAGATATCACAAATATACAGTTGAATTCCAATATGTCTTCACAGACGTCCGCGCTGGTGGGGTCAAATGTTAACGCTTTGAGTGTAACGGACGGAAATGAAGGAAACTGTTCATTTATCATTCCAAACTTGTCAATTTGACCGGTTGCATCATGGCCTTGACGCTACGTCATATCACAATGTGCTTTTTTCAGTGACAAAGATGGATAAGATTGCAAAATAATAATACCACTCTTGTTAAATAAATAACCTTGAGCTCTTAAAATTTCCTATATCTAAATTACAATTTACAATGTATATATATATATATATATATATATATATATATATATATATATATATATATATATATATATATATATATATATATATATATATATATATATATATATATATATATATTCTAAGACATGCCACGTGTCAAATAAAAGGGTAAATGAAAATTTGGTTAAAGGGACTTTTGTTTCGTTTTGTTTTGTAAAGTCCTGTGTGCTCTTTATTAATGTATTTGTTTGGGTGTCAATTTTAATTCCTAGTTTCGTTTTTGTTTTGTAAAGTTCTGTGTGCTTTTTGAATTTCCAAAAGTTATATTAGACAGTAAATTTGCATTTCCTTTTTTAAATTTATATTTCAAATTGGTAGAGATCTGGAAAGGTAAATAGTATTTTATATATACTTTTGAAAGCACTCGATCAAAATTACCGTGGGACATAAATAACTAACAGTGGATTTTTTTCGACATCACAAGCAAAACCGAAAGTGGATAAATATAAGTTATGTTCCTTTCATATGACTTCCAAAGTCAATTAATCAGAAGTGTGACATAAGTCAAAGACTTTAGCTTAAAAGCTTCAGAAGATGAACATCCCATGATATTGTGAGTATTAGTGTGTTTTTTTTTCTTTCTTTTACTAGTAAGGTACAACGTAATAACTATTAATGTAATATGAGCAATGCAGCACAAAAATAGAAACACCTGTATTGAATTGATTTTCCTTTTTTTTCATTTCGAAAGTAGAAAGACAGATGCATGTTTGATGAAACCACTGCAATATTTAACAGGTGAACTATTCATTTGTACCCATTTAAGTTTTTTAAAAAAAAATTTTAAGTAAATGGCACAATAATTATGATGGGGTAAAATTCTATTCTTTAACATTTGAGAATCGACTTCTTTTGTATCAAAACATATATAAGTATTCCTATTTTATGCAATTACAGATTGGAAGGGGAGGTCCAACCCACTACAGGATTTTAGAGGTTAACACGTCAGGGTCAAAAGATTTACAGTCAGATTTTTTTTTACTACAAAGGTTAGAAATATAAGTGAGGTTTATCTAACTCTTGATATCTAATCTCGCATTCTTTGTATGATGTATGTTACGCTGAATTTTGTTTGCTCTCTTGTTCATAAATTGAATTTCTGAATGCTTTATTCAAATATCATTGCAGTTTTTGAACAATGCTTTTTCGATGATAGTCGGTGAATATTGGTTTACATGTATATTATTCTTGCGGCAAGGGGATACAGAAATGTTTTCAAACGTTCATTTTCCAAATTATAGCAATATAAGATTTCTATGTTGTATTTAGAAAAAATTGTGGCTTAGAAGTATATGTATAATTTTGAAACTGGCAAGGAATGGCTATCCAAATGAAAGAATCATCAGAACGTGACGTCACTAACATATATTCGAGAATGGAGGAAACATCTCTTGACGAAATTCTCCTTGTGGCCGCTCTAGACTTTGGAACAACTTACTCTGGAATTGCCTGGTCTTTTACGAACGAATTCGAAAAATATCCTCTTCGAATCAACAGCATTCAATGGTCAAGCATGGTTGGTCCTTCACAGGCCACTTATAAAACACCAACTGCTTTGCTTTTAAAATCAAATAAGGACATGCTAGCATTTGGATACGAGGCAGAAGAACAGTACAGTGAGCTGGCAGACGACAATGCTCATTCTGGGTATTATTTCTTCAGAAACTTTAAGATGATGTTATATGAAAATGAGGTAAGGGTCCTCGTAGATATAAATGGATGAAACTATAGCTCGTTTGTAAATATCTCTACAAAATATTATTCGTATCTGAAGTAAAATTTCAATATAGAGATGGAAATAATTCTTTATGAAAGCAAAGGGCTCGACATCTTCCCTGGTTGTATCATTTGTCTACTACACAAAAACTTCTTGAATAATATGCATTTAATTATAAAAGGAAAACAACTCATGCTCAGATTGATAACGTTTTGATGTATAAAAATTACATGTATTTCACAAGAGATAATTTGTTAATTACATCTACATTACCATAAATGATATAAATTTAACAATTACATTACATAAATACATTACATGTATTCCATTCTTCGTTTCAAGCTATTGTCTTAGAGAACATTTTCCATCCGATAATTTCACCATCTCATGATCTGAGAGACAATCATGCTCAGACCGAAATGCAAATGTATCTACATGTATGAGACTGATTTCAATGTTTTCAATAATGTTTTTTTTCTTTTAAAATACCAGTAAATGATACTCTTTGTGAATTAATGTTCGATATATCTGATATATGCGAAAAGAGTATTTCCTTTTGAACAGTTTTGGGATGGTATGTTGATCAATCCTCATTGGAACATTAAAATTCAGAACTATGGAGATAAAATAATTTAAAATATTCAGATTTCATTATCTAGATATGTTTTGATATCCTATTGAATACTTACTATCTTTTATAACTCTATTTGAAAACTTCCTAGACTCTGAGGAATGATACAGTCCTTTTTGATGATGAAGGACATTCGATGCAAGTCAAAGACATTTTTGCTCACAGTATCACCTATATGAAAGGACGTCTTCTGGATGAATTGAAATCCAGGGGAAATATGATTAGAGAGGAGAACATAAGGTGGGTCATAACGGTCCCTGCGATATGGAATGATGCTGCCAAGCAGTTTACACGAGAGGCAGCGATTAAGGTTTATATTTAGTCTAATCTTTAATGATTTGCCAATTAAGATACTTTACTCTTTATATGATTAAATTCGCACTTAAATTTCAAGGATCAAATATTCCTTATCATTCATTTTTAAAAAAAGTCTAAAATTTCTTGGAATAACTTTATTCACATGTCATAAACAATTTTACCTATTTATTTTTTTTCATTCATTGATTTATTTTGTATTTTAGTCATACGTTGAACGCATTTGACAATGCTCAGATGTTAATGATCACTACTCAAATAGCACACACACGAAACGTCATTCTATTGTGTTGCTGTCATGAATTTGAAAAAAAAATGATGAAGTTGATAACTGACTATTTGGACAAATAATTATATATATATATATATATATATATATATATATATATATATATATATATATATATATATATATATATATATATATATTGGAAGTCCCAACCCCTTTTCTTTATGTTTTTTACCTTAAATATCTCGAATACAGGGATATCTCGAATTTTTTTCTCGATCCTATTGAGTTCGAGATTATGAGGTTTGACTGTATATTGCATTTGGAAATCTTATAAACTACATAAATTGTGTTAGAAATTATATTGAATTGGTCTTCCGATAATGTCAGGCTGGCATACTAAGTTACAGAATAAAACTTGCTCTGGAACCCGAGGCCGCATCTATATACGCCAAAGAAATCCTCATCGAAAGATCGCATGGTTCAAGTCAACAACGGATGCCATCATTTGAGAAAGGGACCAGATTTATTGTTCTTGATCTTGGAGGTAAATGATTTAAAGATTTCTTTCAATTACACTGATCATCTCTACTAATTCAAGGTTCGAGTGATGGTTAGAAATGTCTTTTTCAGTGAATCTATTGTGATAATATTATATGAATATGTTTAATTATATTTTATATTGCATAGTTTAATTAAAGAACGTAAGTATAATTTTTTTTCTATTGTACACAACAACGTGACTATGGCGAGAATATTTTGTAGGTGGAACGATTGACATTACACTGAAAGAGATAGCTGACGAAAACACTCTCAAAGAAATTCATCATGCTTCCGGTGGACCTTGGGGAGGACTAACGGTCAATAAAGAATTTATAACTTTTTTAGAGGGTCTTGTTGGAAAAGAGGTTGTTGATGAGCTGAAAACAAAACATAGGGCCGCTTGGTTAGATTTAGAGAGGGAAGTTGAGTCAAAGAAGAGAAATACAAGAGGAGACAAAGATGGGCGAATTCTTATCCAAATCCCTGGCGAATTACAAGATATCTACGAGAACAAGAATGGCAAGAAACTTATCAATGCTATTGCATTTGAAACAAAGTATGCTGGAAAAATTGACATCAGAAGAAATTGTCTTCGAGTAGATAAATCCATCATGGAAACTTTTTTCAAGAATTGCTTGGATAATATTGTAAAGCATAGTAAGAGTCTGCTAGCGAAATCTGAGGCTCGGGACATTAAATATCTTATTCTCGTCGGTGGGTTTGCAGAATCTGAGTATATGAGAACTGAGATAGCTAACGCATTTAGTAATCTTCAGGTGTTCATCCCAGACGAACCATGGCTTGCAGTCGTGAGAGGGGCCGTGATATTTGGACAAAAACCGTCAGTGGTTAAATCACGAATATCCAAGTATACCTATGGAACGTCCGTCATTCGATATTTTCTGGAGGACTTCGATGATCCAGAAAACAAAATAGAGGAAGATGGCAAACCGTACTGCAGAAATGTGTTCAACAAGCTTGCAGAAGTTGGTCAATCTTTTGAAGTTGGTGAAACAGCCGACACCGAGGTCTTTGCACATAGAGTAGATATGACGAAGATGAAGATAAGGGTTTATAGGTCTACTGAAGCGAATCCTCGTTACGTCACTGATGGAAGCTGCTTACAGATTGGGAATATGGTGCTTGATATGCCAGGTTATGGAAGTGAAAGAAAGGTCACAGTGTCCTTAAGTTTTGGGGATGAAGAGATAACATGTAAAGGTGTCAACGAATCAGGGGAATCAGTTCATGTTAAATTGGATTTGCTCTCTGATTCCTAGGTAGTTCGACTAATATCAGCGTATATATACAGAATATGGAGTGATGGCATTGCAATAGTTATGATTCTTATGCTAGGACAAAGAGATCAAACTTTTCTGGAAGTAAATGATAACAGTATTAGTTTCTAGTTTAGGTAACTCCATTGGAATAAATCAATGATATTCTTACGCATCGTATTCAATGTAGCTGCTTCAAAAATTATTCATTTTAAATATTTGTAATTCTTACTTGTATCAATTCGTGTAAAAAAAAATCTTCCAAGTCTCTGATGATAACGATGTAGCCTCTTACTGTTTTGATTCAGACAGAATTCATCAGATGTAAAAGTGTAATTGCACTACATTGATCATGTTATGTTTTGATTGATTGTAGAGTTTTAATCATGCGCATTAGCTTTCATATGAAATACTTGTATACCCTACCTCATTTCACTTTTCCACTATTTTTGTTTATCTGTGTTTATATATACATTCTAAAGGATTGATATACAAAATATTTATACATGCAATTAACCATTATATAAATGGATAAAAAATAAAGGTTGTTTGTTTTTTTTCTTAATACATTTATTTACTACTCTGTGCTATGTTACTGCAATGGTTAACATTTAAATTTTGTTATGCACAATTATCTACACTAATATTTCAAAATACGAAATGTTCCTTGTAAACCTTAAATCTTAAATCCATGATCTTTAGATTCAGACTTATTTTTAACTTAAATACAAGATAAATAATTAACTAATTAAATTAACTAATTCATTTATTAAATACATAATGAAAAAAAAATTAACATTAATACTTCAAAAATTGAAAAAAAAAAAGATTAGAATGTTCCCTGAAACACAAATAAACCAATGCTTTGAATTCGAACTTCAATCAAAATTCATTTTTCAAAGAATTAACAAATGCAAAACCTAATCACAGCTTAACATACACAAAACATAGGAACATACTGACACACAAAACCCTATAACAAGTATCTGTTATATATAGAATACATGAAGGTACATTGTATTATGACATTTCGATTCAAAACAGCAGCTTTTATTATGCTTTATTCATCAAACAAATAACCTACCCTTAAATAACATCCCTGATATAAAACTAATCCTTAAGAATTTTTAACAATTAAAACTGTCTCTACTTTACAAGTAAAAACGTTCGCTCTGAGTTGTCTGCCTTCGAAGAACTTACAGCATAAAATATGCATGTAAGTCAGTTACGAATAAGAGCATTTCAATGACTCTATTGAACGTGACTTTACTTGGGGGGACAGATGATAACTGGGATGGATGAATGATGGAGGACGTAGTCACTGACACTCCCCAAAATTGTTCTCCTAATGGTTCCCATTCCCCGGGTCCCCAGCACAATCATATCAGCGTTTAAGTCTTTGGCAGTTTTCAGGATTCCCTCACCGGGTTTTTCGGCGTGTGTGCTTCGAACCTTACCAGACGCCTTGAAAAAGAAATTACATCATTCTAATACCAGTGTATTGTAAAAGAGATTATGACTCTAAAAGATAATAAGACAATCATTATTAAATGAGACGAATAAAACATGCTTGAAACAGAGAAGTTAAATCCGTTGTCTATAGATCTCTTAGTTAAATGAAGTATAAAAGCTTATGGATGTCAGAAAATCGAAATTTAAGCTTTATTTATCTTCTAAAATATACATCCTGCATAAATAGCAAAAACTGTGATCAAACTTAATTCATTTAGCGTAATTGCAGGGAACAAAAATAGCTAAGAATTTAAGCATTATACAGTTTTCTATTTAGGCATAATAATGTCATAAATCATGAAATTAAAAGAAATAAGAAAAAAACGTCTAAGGAAACAAATGTGAACAAAAAAATTAAAACATGAAATAATTCAATTACATCTCAATCAATAATCATTATTTCACAATAAAAAAGAAAAATTGTTTAAGCACGTGATAAGTTTTATTTTCTTGTCTAATTATTTTTCAGTAGTAGGGGAAGACAGGATTTCAAAAATACAATATTTTACGTCAAGAAAAGACAATAAAACGAATAATTGGATGTATTACAAGGGAAAAATACATTATTGATAAGGTATTAGCTGTGATTTCCTCCAAGCATTGACAGCCCCATGAAAGATAGATGAAGTAATTACAGATGGAGGAATAAATCAGCTTTCCAAAGTCACCACATAAAAATTACGTTACTGTGTAAACGAAAATCTCAACAAGATATTTAATTTAGGGAATTTATGCCTCCCATTAAGGACAAAGCAAGTGGGTGGAAGACCCCGAGACCTTGTATAAAATGCAGATGAACAGAGAAAAGAAGGATTGGCCATGACCTTTCGACTTTTGGCATCAAAACCAATAGGTTTTTTTTAAATTAAAGAGAGTAAATGCCATAAGTACCATTGCAAAAGCTCTCAGGAAACTCTATAGCTATCATCTATGAATTATCATCACGAAAATTTCTATATGAATTTCAGAACAGGACCTTTGACCTTTTGACAACAAAATCAATAGGGATCTTTTTTCAGTTAAAAGGTGTTGTGATAAAAAAAAATCATTGCAAAAGTTCAGAAAACTTAACTTGTCATCAGGAAACTAGGATTTTTTTTTTCAACTTAATTATTGACCTTTTTACTCAGTATTAATAGGGATTTTCTTTAAATTATATTACAATTATGGACTCTTTTGGTGGTGAATATGGTTTGTTATTCACCAGAAAAATATCAATATTGATCGAGGCGAAGCTGAGGTCAATATTGATATTTTTTCTGGTGAATAACAAACCACATTCACCACCGAAAGAGTCCATAATTGTTTTATTATATAGTAAGGATTTGAATGAATAAGACATTGAAGGCTGCATGACGACTCCATTTTCAATAAGGAACTTCTGTCGTAGAAAAATAAAAAAAATGTCCAGATTATAACTTATAACTTTCGTGTTTTCCTGTTGCTGTGTGTATTACATCAAAATGTTTGGAAAATAATCCTACGAGAAATTTGCCTAAAAGTTTTCCTGCTCAGATATACAGCTGGCTCCGGCCGTTGCAACCATTGTTTTCAACGTTGTTTTAGGTATTGATTATGACGTCACAATGCCACTGCACGCGCACTGACCCTCCGGTGAATACGGCTTCAAATCCAGTGAATATGCTGTATTATGAACTGTTTGCGTTTATATAGATTATATAGGGACTATTTATAGACTATATAATAAAAGGTGTTATAATACAAAATTCCTTGTTAAATTTCAAACTACTTTTTTGAGATATCATCCAAACACTTAAGTGTTATAGACAGAATAACTGATAGACGGATTGACAGACAGACAAACTCAAATTAATGCCCCACACTTTGAGCGAAAGTGGGAGGCAAAGAAGAGGGACTTTTATTGAATGGGATATATCGGAATGTCACAAAGTCAGTAATTCCAACTTACATGTTCACTTCTCATAATTTCCGCAAATTGTTCCAGCTTCTTTTTGACTTCTTCTGCGTGCTTTTCTAACATTGCTTTTAAAGCTGTTCTGTCAACGGAATATGGAACTGAAGTGATACATGAAGAATGTGGACATGAACATTACTCGTCAAAAGGCATTATGAACTTTAAATCTGAAACTCAAACTTATCAGCAACCCTGCCACGACCACTAATGTTTTACATGCTATACTTGAACACCCTAGAAACATTATCAATTCTCAATCAAATATCTTTGCGTTAAATCTGGACTCGCCATTTAGGAATTACTGTTATTTAAAGTGGGGCATCATACGAGGGGTGATCAAAAAGTTCGCGAACTAATTGAATTACTTCTTTAAAAGAAATTAAATGAAATTTCAGTGTTTATTATTTTTTTAAAGTAGTCCACTCCGATTTTAATGCACATCTGCCATTGTGCTGCCCATGCGTGAATCACGTGATCCAGGCAGTCACGTGACATGCTCCGAAGCAGTCTGTTCAGAGAAGCTAAAAGATTTTTCAGAGTCTTATATTTCTTACCATGCAAGTTATTTTTTATAACCAAAAAAGTCCATCTGTCAGAAATGACCAAATCTCGGCAATAGGATGGGTGGATAAGGATATCCCTTCCCACAATTAGTATGGTGACCCATCACAACCCGAGTCCTCTGTCTCGGGAGAGTCGTTTTTCCAATGTGGATAAAGTACGGGCACCTATTTTTTATCATATCTCATAAGTTTAAAGTCTAAAGTAAACGATATTTTAGAGATTTAATAATTATATTATTGTTAAGATATACAACCATTTTTCTAATTGTTACTTGACGATGTTTCATAACAAATTGCTCAACTAAGGACACACCTTTTCCCCGGCTTGCTTTCGCTGGGCAACAGAACAAACATCATTTTTAACCGTCTCCCTGTCTTTACTTAAACAATCAATCCAATTAATGATTGAACTTCTGGTAAGTCTTTTGTTTTCATAAACCTTGTACAAATTATCATATTCTACTGCAAAGGAATTTCCAAGATATACGTTAAACTTTACAGCCGTCCGTTGCTCGAGTACGACTGAGTCAACCATTTTTTGTCACAAGTGACCTACATATTGACGTCATTTTCACATTGTGACGTCACAAATACGGAACAAAACATTATTTAACATATGTTATTTATAGAACATGTGTACCTGTATGACTATATGTGTGCCAAATTTCATTCTGATCTGAATTGTGGTTTTGTAAATATACAGATAGTTCGCGAACTTTTTGATCACCCCTCGTAGTGTGTCGTACTCTGCGTCACTTTTAAAATTGTCTGTTAAGTAATATGTACAACTCCTGCTATTCTTGCATTTTGATTAATTTATACATCGCACTGTGTAAATTAATGCATTTTCGTTATGACATACCATTGAACCACTGAGTTGCATACAGTGGGTCGTAAACCTCCACAGAGTACACCATGACTACCTGATCGTCATCACGTTTGATTGATTTACAAAACCCTGAAAAAGAATATATATACTACGTTAGATTATAATAGATCAAGTTCCTAACCTTTAAATACAACCGGGAATGTAATGTGCTTTCATCCACTTACTTTTTTTCTGGTAGCAAGCTAAAGAAAAATATTCTCGAAGTATTTGAATAAAAGTAAGAATTGTGACTGGAATTAAAATGAAATCGAAGTGACGAACTGAATGTGGACAGGGCTGATCAATCTCAATATTTTCACCTTCCTTGATACAAATAGTTGGTCATGATCATTAGTTAAAGAAAGCTTGATTGTTTACGAACATAATGCACAGATACAAAGGTGGGCCTCATTAATTGTGAAAAGGCGATAGCTAATTGGGGCTGACTTGAATCTGGATCTGATAATGATAACGTAAATGAAATTGCTATCTTATTTTCATTTCATAGGTTTTCCTAGCAGTTCTGCACATCGATCAATTGTGAGGCCCTGTTCTATCAGAAATCCACAATCTAGACGGAAATCTGATGTATGCACATGAATAAATTCTTTTTACCTACACTCCTGATAATGAAGGAAGTTGAAACATCCACCGGCACTTTGCAATTGTTAGATTACATAGTTTGGTTACCAATATTATATCGGACTTTATTAAGAATCTCCCTGTGTAATCTAGTTGTCTCTAGTCTCTACACTGCAAAATAGCTAAAGATCGTTACTTCAACAAGGCAAGGGCAGTAATGACAATCGATTGTCATATAGGTCGATACATAGTAATAGTACAGCATTCAGCGAACAACCCATATAGAAAATAACTGTCCAATTAATGTAGCTTTGTAACAATATATGGATGCAGGATCAGCTGTGCTCAATCGGAGCACATGGGGAAAAAAAACAAAAAACAAAAAACTTTGATTGGGCTATTACAGCTTGAAAACGTAATATAGGGAAGTATATGCTGATACAGCATGAGTCGTCGAACAAATTGTTGTAATTAAGTATTTTACCTTGCAAATCAGGAAATCTACACAGAAAACGCAAAGTGCACCCTCTGTAAATCTAGCATTTAATATATGCGCAATTCACACACTCAACAAATCTACTACTAAAACACATTTACATAAAATTGTATAAACTGCAATAATAATGGCACTATAAATAGCTACAGGAGTGCAGTCTTAGTCGTTACACTGGATTTGGTTTTTATGCGTGTGCATTTTGACATTTTGAGGATCTTTTAAATTTTCTTTTGCGTACTAGTAAATCGTGCAACAAGACAGCACATTAATTCTGAACATGGCAGATATGGGGCAGCACAGTTATCAAACTCCCCCGCCCCCCCCCCCCCCAACCCCCCACATACTCATTTCCCCACCCTGCTTCCATAATTTTGAAAAGTAATTTAACAAAATCGACAAAAACATCCGAATCTAATTTAGATCAGACAACTGTCCCTGAAAATGAAAATAAGAAAAATACTTTGACCCTCCCCACTTGCATTACGTACTCGTGGGGGCAAATGCTTTTTTTACAGCTTAGGAATTTACGGCAGTGTAATTGTATTGCATATGCACATTCTTCATAGTATACGTACAGTACTGTTTATTACTTACATTTGAATGCATTCACAGCATGTTCGCTTCCATCCATCGCTACCACGATCGTTCGTTGTTTATCGGCCATTTTTTATACAGAAAGTTCTCGTTAACTTTGTGTTCGACACGGTGAAATCTCTGCTCTATCTGCCTGGAGTTTGCCGACTCGACATTTAAAAAAATGTGTAAACAATGTCACGTGGAAAAAGAAATGGCGCAGTTATTAATAATACGCGGTATATAGGTTACAGATCAATGATAGAATCATGCGGGGCATAAACATGTATATTTAAATTGTGAATGACATTATGCTCTTTTTATGGCTTTGCTCAGAACTTGTAACTTCACTGCGCAGTTTTATTCATTTTTTATTAAATGATAAATAGTACTGGAATAAAAAAAAAAAATAGAGGCCGAGCTGGATATGAAATTTGTGGGGGAGAAAATGTGTATATACATGTATGTATAAGAAAGGGGGAGGGTTATCTCCATCTGATTTTTTTTTTTTAAAGTTATGATTGTTTTAGTTTTGTGAGTTACAGCTGTATAAAATTAAATAAAATTTCCTTATTCATATATATACATGTATACATGAGTGGGGCATGTGTCTATTTTTATTTAAAAAAAAATACCAAGTTAATGTTTTAACCGTTTTAGTTTCATTGTTTGCAATTGTTAATGCCTTTGGTCTGATAACTTTCTTTTATAATTTTTTTTTTTTTTTTTTGTTTACATACACGTATTTTTATCAATATATATCAAAAAGTATCAAATAAAACAAATTGATAGATGACGCTATGTTGTCCAGAATCAAGACAATTAGCATGACCAGGGATCAGCAAAATCCCTGGTCTAGTACTCAGTAACATATCTTAAAGTAGAACTATTTACTTGCCTGTACGTGTACCTACTTGTCACTATCACCATGCAAACTAAACAAAACAAAGTAAAACGGAGTAAGAATACGTACAAACTGTCTGACCATTAAAACTATGGAAGTACTTTTTGTATTATGTAATATAAAAATTCTTGTATTAATTCTTTCATTCAATGGACCTTATTTATAGTGATTAATTATCATAGGTGAATAGCAAAGGGAAATAACTTTTCTCAGTAGAATACAAAGTAATAGAGCCCTGCCAAGCACCAGAACACTTAACTAAGTGATCCAGAATTTCAAAAAATCTGGTAAAAATACCCTCGCTTACTACATTGCACTCTATTTGTTCCCTGGATGCCCAAAAGCAGAGAAGATTTTCAAAGAAATAATGTATTTTCACTACATAAACAATGGAGACCCTCCCTACAACACCTAAGCCAATAACCTAGGGGCCTTGAAATTCACAATTTTTGAAGAGACAACCCTTGCTTATCATAAATATGCAATTAATTTGTTTTGGTAAATACCCAGGGCAGAGAAGATTTTCATAAATATGCAATTAATTTGTTTTGGTAAATATCCTGGGCAGAGAAGATTTTCAAAGAAATATGCACTTTTACGTAAATTATAATCAATATAATACACCCTTCCCCTGGCCCTTGGGCCACAAATTTCACAATTCTGAAAGTTTTAAAAGTTTGAAAAAACTATCTTATCATAATCATGCACCTAGTTTATTTTCTAAATATACAGGGGTAAAAGGGAGACTTTTAAAAACTTTAAAGTTTATGCATTTTCACTATAGGATCATTAGAGTCCAAAACTAATTCAAGAAGCCGCTGATTCTGAGGTTATGAATTTCAGAATTTTGGTAGAGGGTTCAATACTTATATCATGCCAATCACGCCAACAGCTCAATGTCCAGGAGTAAAGAAGAAGATTTTTAAAAATTGCATTAATTTTGATAGTTTTAACTCATCCCTCAGGCCCCAGGGAAACAGGGACCATGGAAGTCATGATTTATATTCGCCTTAACCATAAATGCAATATATGCAAAAATTGGTTGAAATCGGTTCATTGGTATTAGAGAAGAGCAGCTGAAAATGTTCAAATGTGAACGCACGACGAACGGTGAAAGACGACGGACAAAAATAGATGGCAATCATGACCTAAAAAGAAATATTGGCCAGAATGTTACACTAAAGAAAAAGTTGAATCAAATTAAAAGGGGTAAACATTCTATTTACTGTATCTAAACCTTTATCTGCGCTATTATAGTTTACATGTAACACCTAAATGTAGTAAGGAATATCAGGATTTTATAGCCTGGTTTTGTATAGTGCTGGCATTTGATGAAATGGAACATTACGTAAAAACATATATCAGAAACGCAGAATAAAGCAAAGAAGTAAACAAAATAAAACAAAATACAGATTGGGCATACTATATATCCCTGAACTAAAACACGTGTTCAGAGAGGGAGAGAGAGAGAGAAAGAGAGGACTTTTTTTTAGCATTTTATTTATTACTTATCATTGATTTATTTCCAATCTGAATAAACGTGATGGCAACAAATCTAAAAAGTATTCATAAATAAATATTTTACCTACCAGTATAATAATAATATGGAAGTTTGAATATCCATTAGAGAATGATAGCATTACTTTTAATTAGTTAAATCTGCTTTATGTTTATAAGGAAATATCATAAAATTTATTTTTATAACAATCATGGTGGTTCTTTCTTTTTAAAGAAACCCGTTATTGCTGTATAACGGAAACAAACGTAAAAGTTACCAGACTGAACAACTTAGGAGAAGCGCAACTAATTGTTGATTTAAAAATATTTTTATTGCAATAAATATATACAATGGGATTGGGCAGAAGTTCTAAAAACTTAATTCGCCTTCTCCCTACATGTTATATCACAAAACTAGTTGTTCTGGGAGCTTAAAGCTTAAGGTTCTTTGATCATATGATAAGAAAGATAACTCTCAGTGGGATAAATTCCTACTACATGTACATTTTGTACACCTTTATAAAATAGCCATGGTCAAAGGCCATTTTTATGCATTTCTTTATGTACATATAAACTACTTGTATATCAAAGGTTAAATACGTCCATCAATGTTACTTTAGAACATTGATGGGTTTTGTGTCATTTACGGATATAACAAGATACTGGTTTCCGAGTGGCAAGTCATCAAATATATACGTACACTGTGTTCCTTGATGCAAAAAAGACCTAAAATTAATCAAAATTTATTGGTGTTTTTGCTGTAAATGACACAATTTTTTTCAATTTTAAACATGTCCAGTCTTTTCAAATGTCATTTTCTATGTCACTTTTTTGTATACACAAGGAATATGTGCATACTGGTTTTGGTGTATACATGTACATGCGTACTTTCACCTTTGTTATTGGCCATTATTGTCAGTAACAGTGGTACAATTTTTTCATTTCACGCAGCTGCGTACAAATCTAATCAGTTACGTGTATCTACATATTTTAGCTACATGGATGTAGGAAAAGGGGTTTGTAGTTTTTTAATCTTTCATGTAACAGTAGTTGGAGTCAATATTTCTCAATCATTTTACATAAGTTACTACACGTGTCCTTTATTTATTTCCAATTAATTATAGTCATGAAATCATTAAAAAATGTTAATTAGTTAAAAAAAAACAAATAAACAAAGAAAAACACTTAGTTTATCTATCTGATTTGACTATTGCATTGATATTTGGTTATTCAACAGTACTGTGTATTGCCCATTTTATTAATATGAAACATAATTTCATTTTATACTTCTAACAATCAGATATATAATTTTGTTACATATTCAACAATGAAATACTGTAATTTATTTATTGAATAAATAAGATAATATGTTGTCACAGTGTGAAAGAATATAATATAAGCGACATTTCTCACAGTGTGAAAAATATCAGAAGTGCGACAAAACTCTCGATTTTCCTTCCCTTCACGAAGAGTGTTGCAAAAAATACTCCCTGGCCTGTTATTAGAAAAGATGGGTTATAATAAAAAACCATCCTGACAGAGACTAAAACTGCCAAAGCTTCTCCAACCCATGTTTACAGTGTTTTAAATCTCACAATCGCTAAGCTATATGTATGACATCTCAACCGCTCAACTATGACGTTTTAGCCTATGACACTGTGTTACAAAAGATAGAGGCAAAAGGGAAATTAAAGAAAATGTAATACACAGAAAATTCAGTGTTTTGTAGTTGTTATGAAATTTATTTTACTCTTGATACAGGTTTTTTTTTTTTATATTTTCACGAGTGCTTCGCACTCGTGAAAATATCAGAAAATCCTGTACCACTCGTGAAATAAATCCATATTATCCAACTGCAAAACATTGAATATCCTCTACATATTCCGTTGCAGCACTATTAGACGCAAAAGTCTGTATCTAATAAACTTCTGTATCATTTTATGAAAAAAAGAGAATACTGGAGTTTTGCATTTTGCACAGAATATGATTGTTTTGTCTTTGTCCGTCTTTCACTCTCATAACAGCTGTATTGTTATATGTACAATGTATATGTTTAAAATTTGTATCCAGTCCTATAACCCTCCAGTATTATCAAAACTATGAAAAACAGTTTTTAATATATACATTGTCATCTCTACAGGTTTTGTTATCATTTCATAACAATGGTGTTTTCAACAACCCATGAGTTAGATTCCAGATAGACAGCAATGATGCAACGAGTACCTTAAGCAGAACAGAAGCAAGTATACACAATGTCCTCACAAAGGTAATGCCCCGGTACATGTAACTATCACTCCAAATGAAGCAACATGATTGGTTGATATAATTGTTGACTGCCTGACGTCACTTTAAAATGATTCGGATTTAAGATGTACCTGGCGGACATACTACAACAGGAACATTTGCATGGTGAACCACATAGTCACTAACACTTCCAAGTACTGTTCGTCTTATAGTTCCCAGTCCTCTACTTCCCATAATTATGACGTTAGCATTCAAATCTTTAGCTGCTTTGACTATCCCATCTCCCGGACTTTCTGACTGGGCAGTTCTTACCGTACCAGTTGCCTGTAGTAAATAGAACTTTGACCTTAGTCTAACTCTTCAAAGAAACCTTTTTTATGTATATGTATTAAATAAATATAAAGTTAATTTAACAACGAATCCATGAACAGAACTTCATAATCGTTATGAAAATTTGATATATTGTTGCTGTTGGATGTTAGTTCATGTAGCCTCTCTCCTTTCAAATGACTCGTAACACCGGTCACGGTAGCGCAGTGCACAGGTACTTGTGGACAGGACCCCCCCCCTCCCCCCCCCCCAGCAATTCAACCTCGAGGTTTGTTGGACATTTTTTTCACAAATTATATTTATTACACTTATTCATCATGTGTACCATACGAAAAAATCGTAAAAACCCCTAAATAATCGTTCCACACAAAAATACCCCACTATGCATTATTTCTCTTATAATGTATAGTGGGGTATTTTTGTGTGGAACGATTATTTAGGGGTTTTTACGATTTTTTCGTATGGTACACATGATGAATAAGTGTAATAAATATAATTTGTGAAAAAAATGTCCAACAAACCTCGGGGTTGAATTGCGGGGGGGGGGGGGGGGAGGTCCTGTCCACAAGTACCTGTGGCGCAGTGGTACACTGTAGGACGCTCGCTTCGTGATCGGGAGGCCCGGGTTCGATTCTCGTTCTCCGGGCCACGTCAACCTAAGACGTAAGCATATAGGTAGTGACTATTCCTTCGCCAAGCGCCCAGCAGAAGTGAAAGTCACGGGTCTTTCGGATGAGGGTTTAAAAACCGAGGTCTTGTATCACGGTAGGTGTTGGCACAATAAAGAACCCTCACTGCCCAATGGCCTTGAGTGCCGAATATAGTATAAATTTGAAGCCTTTCAGCGGCATACGGTGACATCTCTATATGAGTGAAAAATTCTCTAATGGGACGTTAAACAATATTATATACAATCAATCAATCAACGAATTTTTAGTGTGATGTTATGTTATATGACATAAGCCTTAAGGCACAATACAAGTGTACATAGGGCTTGATAAAATATATTAAGGCTTTCCGAGAGAGAGAGAGAGAGAGAGAGAGAGAGAGAGAGAGAGAGAGAGAGCTAAGGAGGTCTGACTTACATGCTCACTTTCCATAAGTTTTGCAAACTCGGACAACTTATCTTTGACTTTTCCCATGTTTTTATCTATAGTCGCTTTCATCTCTGCTTCCGAAGAAGGTACTGAAAATAAATATTGGTACATTAAGTAAACAGCATATTTGTAAACAATTAATTTAAGGATGTAATGTGTTAATTATCAATCATTTAGGGATTTCAAACTCTAGGAGTAGTTATTACTATATCGTAAATATGCGATTTATAATTTTTCATAGCACAAGTTTATGCTGTAATGTACATTTGCTACTTCTTCATGTAATACGTGTATATTGTTTGTTTCAGTCTCAGCTCCCTCACCGTGTAGCCATTGTTTGGGTGTCATAGTATCCGTTATCTCCACGGAGTAAACCATCACTACATTGTCTGTGTCTCGCTTCATAAAGTGACAAAACCCTAGATAAAAATCAATTTCAATTTTTATTCAAAGATATCTTATATACATAATTTATGATAGATATATATCTCAATGAACCTCAGACGCATGTACAATATCACCTACATAAAAAAAAAAAGCAAATGAACAACATATGCTTCGTCACATTTAATCAGAAAGTAACATAATGTTGGCTAAAAAAGCCACTCACATGTATACATAATTGCATACAATAATTGCTGAAATACATTCACGCAAGCAGTTGTTGAATGATTATGTTCACAAAAGTGCAAGTATGAATTACATGTATATACATGGAGAATAAAATATACGTTTTTCCAATTACACCCTGTTTTAGCCCGACACCTATAGCCTAGGGCCGAGGGCCCGAGGGCTGATACAGGGTATGCTATTGGAAAAAGTACTAAGTACGAGTGTATTATCATGTTTATTACATACAGAGTAATAACAAACAGAACACATTTACTTGAGCAACAATTAAATTATCACCGACTGGCTAATTAGTAATTATATAAAATAACAGTAATTTAAGATTACATTTTTCTTTTTACTGAAAATGTGAATGAAAGATGCTGTATTAGTATTTAGCACAGGTACTGTTGTTTTCATATTTTATCGTTAACATGCAAAGAATGTGTAACTATGTAAATAAAATTACAGGATATATATAAAGATTAGGATCATAAATTTATGATTTTGCATTTCAAGAATATGAAAGTCCCTCTGCATATTTTCAAAGTAAAATTGTCAATAGAAATTATAGGTGCAAGTTTTGTAGAAATTAACTTTTATTTTAAATTAAAAAAAGCTCCTGATAGGGAGGATTTGTTTACATTAAGATAGACTGGTAAAATCCACAGTTTTGTCCCTTTTTACGCTTTCATCGATTGACATAGTAAAATTATGTTTTTAAAAACTTACACTTGAAGGCGTTTACTGCTTGGACACTTCCGTCCATTCCTATAATAACTGTACGTCCACCGTCGGTCATACTGGATAGGAACACACTAATTAATACTTCACTGTTGATATTTGTACAAGGATGCTTTGTACTGACTCAAGCAGACGTATACACTACCAAATTGTCGCAGCATGTGTGCACTGATACGGTAGACTACTTTCTTTTAGTGAAAGAGATATGTGGTGAAACAGGAGTGGATCTAGCGATTCATTTTAAAAACAGGGACAACGTCTCTTATGTGGTATACAGATATTTGACATATCGCATTTATGGATATACAAGAATTTTAGAAAAAGCCATATGAATTCATTTCAATGTAGAATTGATTAATTATTGTTAATACAATAAAATGGTGACCTACAAACAAAAACGAACGAATGAAAGAAGCTACATATAGTATATACATGTACATATTTAAATGGTTAGTAAAGACATGCGAGAAATCACGAAATTTAAACTAGAATTTAAATTACAATCAATAATTATTTACTAAGGTATACAAGGGTTCAGATCAACTCAGTAAGTACACATGCAGTCAATAAACGTCTTGTTATATCGTTTACTTTATTTTTTGACATATCTTGTGCTGGCTTCCTTCATGTAAAAGTTTTCCCACACTGCAGTTTAAACTCGGTCAATTCCGTATATTCTATCGAACTCCATTGAATGCAAATAAGATATAGCTAACCCCCCTCCCCCCCCCCTCCTTGTACACACACAGTGTGACGTAGGCGGACCAATATCTCATCGACAGGTTCAATATCTCACTCTGCGGTCTAACATCGATTTTTGTTTGACCGCTCAATAAAACATTGGAAAGTTTGGATTTTTTTTAAATAAATTTATAAAGGAAACGATTTTCAAAGGTATAATTACGCATGTAAATGTTGTATTGACTTCCACCTAGTAAATTAAAAATATGCATGAAAGTCAGATGCATAAAAAGAGACGTCAGTACCAGTGAAGCTAGAAGCTAAGATATTGAGCTGCTTGTCTGTCTGTCTTTCTTCTTTATTATGATCTTCTTCCTCAACACGAGTACTTGCTGGAGTCTATTCATGCAATCAAGAGAACGAGGAAGATTATTTCTTTGTGTGCTTAACGACTGCAAAGTTTGAATAGTACTGAAGAACTTTAAACAAGTGAAGTTTATATGAAGTAGAAATCCATATACCCTGATTAATTTTCAATCATATTGATGGACAGAGGGTAATCTTTACTCCTTTCATGGTTACTACAGTAACAACTTAATATGTAGATTATAATAACTTTTAAATGAATAACTGATCTATTATTCTCTACAGATAAAGATGGAGGTTAAAATTAAGTCTGTATTTTAGGTTCGTCGATAGAAACTTGTCAGCAATATAAAATATGATCACAAAAATATCACACAGTTATCTTAATAAAAGACATTTCTAAAATACAACATTCGCACACAGTAATCATAGTTTATCATTATTTTGCTTTATGAATATTGCTCGTTTGAAATAAAAAAAATCCTCTTCAACCTAATTTACCATCAATTACTTAATTACGCTTTATTTAGTCGTAGTTGGTTCTTTGCAAAGCAAAGAAAACTGCGTCTATCTCATTCATTGCATGTCTTTCATGATTATGATTATGTTAAAATGCGCATCTTTTTCTTGTAAAAGATATCACATCATTGTTAGCTCAGGGTCATCTGCAACGTGTTGGGAATTTCTGAACGCGACAGTCTGTGAGGCGAATGCGTCTGCTTAATCAAATTAATGGTGTGCTTCTTATTCAGAATGTTCTAGAACACCCAATAAAAACACTCAACACCAAAATATGTATATATAAAATATCTACATGTATATAAACATTAAATGAAGATTGCATTTCTTTGCACAAGAGATTGAATCTTTTCCAAATTGGAACGGGAAATCATTGGTATGTTATGTTTCATTACTTTAAATACTGGTATTGCATCAAACAAACGAATCATTCTATATATAAATGTTAAGTCTGTGACAAAAGATTATTTTGAGGTAGAGTAAATTCTGTAGCATCAATGCATGTATAGAGCCTAAAGTACCAAACTATAATCTAAATTCATGTTAATACGTTTTTGCATCTGTTATCAACATACTGAATCGTGATATAAAATATAACGCGAACAGATTTATTTATTATTTTATCATCTATGACTAGATCTAGAGTGAATTTATCCATCAATTTGCTATTGTCTTTTAAAGACGAGTTAGATGAAGGGTTAGTGATCGAACTTATTATCCAATTAAAAACAAACTACATGATATTGAATTTGAAAGCAGATAACAAACACCAGAGATGGAATCAGATGTCATTGAGAAGTAAACATCCCTGTAAACCAGTCTCCCTTGATCAGATAAACTGTGTAATCCGTAATGCATCGCTCAACATTTGCGTGAAAAACATTAGTGTAAACAAGGGTGTTATGCAAAGTCATATTGGTATATTTACGATATTTTAAAAACGAAACTACATATGGAAGTATGTTTAGTATCTTAAGACAATACTGATAGTTATCATTAGATTCATATATGAAGGTACATGTACATGTATTTGCTAGAAATTTGCAATTCCAATATTATGAAAACTGTCATCCTATTATACTGCTTGAGTGTTCCCTTTGAGATATAAAGTTAATGCACTTGAAACTAATTTACAAGCACTCAAATAATTATCCTTAAGTAACAGCTGGCTCTTAATTTTGAAAGAGTAAGCATTGTACTTCTAACTCATTGCACATCCTTTATAACTTATTTATGCTAGATGCTCATCACCGTCTCTTTGAAGACGCTGACACTTTAAACAATGTAAGCTCAAGCCATTTACCAGTATGTAGGGGTTTCTTGTCAAAGGAAGACACAATGCTGAAACTATGATGGTTCCAATCGTACTAGGAATATTCAAATTCATTCATTCTTAGATTTTGGATAATATCAAAAATGCTCAAGAAAAAAATACGATTTTATTAGAGATTGGACTGAAACATTTCATACCTGAAAATATAATGAGAAAACCCAAATAATTTTAAACATTTATTTGTATGTCAGGATGAATTCTTTACATTATTGAGTATAAGTTGGTAACCAAGTACCTTCTAATCTCACTTTCATCCACAACATACCCAAACAATAAATAAACATTCAATGCAAATAATAATGAGCCTGAGATTTCTATTTCAACACAGATTGTATATACCAATCTACAATGTCAGAAACTACTTTGTTTGTAAAAGTACTATAATATGTATCAGGATTGCACAGGACAAACAACCACCGGAATAGAGGAATGTTGTAGAACATAGTCACTGACACTCCCTAAAATAGTCCTTCGAACTGCACCAAGACCACGTGACCCAATCACAATTATGTCAGCTTTGAGTTCCTCTGCTGCTTTAATGATTCCTTCTCCTGGGTCATCCGAATGAACACTTTTTACAGTCCCTGGTACCTAAAGAATAAATGATAGAGACGACGATATTACTAGACGTGAACCAGAAACATTGAAAAGTATAATAGATCTAGATCTTTTTTTAAAAACTCCATAACAATATTAGTATATTATGGAAATCATGATGAATGTGTGCCAATGAATGTTTGAACTGAAAACTGCTTTAAGAATGATAGTTCATCAGCTACAGGAACTTTGAAAAATCCACAAAAATTTCACTGCCAGATAGAATGAAATAAAAGAGATATTTAAATATTATATATTAATAATTAAAATCTTTTTTTTTTTTCGAAATGTTTAATTCGACCATGACATTCATACATGATAAACATCTACGCAAATGCCAAATGAGTTAATGCCAGAATGTAGCTCACTTAAATGACGTCATGCATGATTTTAAATGTTCAGTGCTGTGGGGCATGAGGCCAGAAAAGCCTAGTATTAAAATCACATAATGGCCAGTAAATTATAACAAAAGGAAATATACATTGTGCATCAATACAAATGTATGTATCAAGTTGGAAGTTGGAAATCATTATGTTACTTTTGAAAGCAATTGTGATAAGTTATTTTACAGGAAAACACATTTAATATAGTGTCTTAGTTACCGTATAAACCAAAAATAAATTTGAAATATAGCTGCTAACAAGATGTGTTTGTGAAACACTGATGCCCCCGTATGGCAGCTTATGGCGAAGGTTAAAGTTTCTTCAAATGCAACTCAAAAATCCAGGCCAAAAGATAAGAAATGTTGATACCCAAAGAAAGGTCTTGTCTCGAGGAATACACCTGTGAAATTTGAAAGACCTAGATACAACTGTTCAAAAGTTATGGCGAAGGTTAAAGTTTTTTAAATAAAAGTCAAACGTCAAGGTCAAGGTCAAAGTGGTTGGTGTCCAAAGGAAGATCTTGTCACAGGGATTACATTTGTGAAGTATGAAAGCCCTAGCACCAACCATTTAAAAGTTATGGCCAAGTTTAAAGTTTTTCAAAAGTAGGTCAAACTCCTAGGTCAAGGTCAAAGGGTCAAAGTGGTTGGTACCCAAAGGAAGGTCTTGTCACAAGGATTACATATGTGAAGTATGAAAGCCCTAGCATCAACCATTCAAAAGTTATGGCCAAGGTTAAAGTTTTTCAAAAGTAGGTCAAACTCCTAGGTCAAGGTCATAAGGTCAAAGTGGTGGTTGATATCCAAAGGAAGGTCTTGTCGCAAGGATTACATATGTGAAGTATGAAAGCCCTAGCTCCAACCATTCAAAAGTTATGGCCAAGGTTAAAGTTTTTCAAAAGTAGGTCAAACTCCAAGGTCAAGGTCAAAAGGTCAAAGTTGTTGGTATCCAAAGGAAGGCCTTGTCACAAAGAATACACATGTGAAGTTTGAAACCCCAAGCACCAACTGTTCAGAAGTTATGGCCAAGGTTAAAGTCTCATAAAATTTTGCAAAAGTAGATCAAACTCCAAGGTCAAGGTCAAAAGGTCAAATATGATGGTACCCAAAGAAAGGTCTTGTCACAAGGAATACACATGTGAAATATGAAAGTCATAGCTCCAACCAATCAAAAGTTATGGGCAAGGTTAAAGTTGACAACAGACAGACAGACAAACAGACAAACGGACAAACAGACAAACAGATAAACAGACAAACAGACAAACAGACAGACAGGACAAAAACAATATACCCCCGGGATCTTTCGATCCGGGGGCATAAAAATGACCACGTACATGTTCGCTCTTCATCATTTTCGCAAATTCGTCGAGCTTTTCTCTGACCTCCCTTCGTTGTTTCTCTATCATTTCTGTAAGAGATGGTCCAGAGTATGGAACTGAAAAATATTATAATCCTCATTATTTATTTTAGGGGTATATATAATCAATATACAATACATGATAGTAAATTAAAGTGCATACTGAAGTAGACGAGTATACTTTTATATTAATATGGAGTTACATTGCTTTACCACCGAGCCACTGTGTTAGGTAATTCTAAGTTTTTCTTGTAGCAATATATTTTAATTTATCAGTAAGCTACATGTACTGTGCTGATTAGTGTTAATTGAAGAAGTATATTAACCTCAGAGCCATTGTGGTGAGTATTATATAGTGTTTATTGTAGTATACTAAAATTGTACCACTGAGCCACCATGTTGAGTAATCCTTTAATGTTTATTGTACGAGGGTTGTCCTAAAGAGTCATAGACAGGTTATACAATTTTTGGGACATCACTTGTAGCGGTGTATTTTACCACTGAGCCACTGTGTTGGGCAGGACTTTGTTTATTGGAGCAGTGTATTTTACTACTGAACCACTGTAATGAGAAATTCTTAATGTTTATTGTAGCAGTATATTTTACTACTGAGTCACTGTGTTGAGTAGGTCTACGTTTTCCTGTAGCAGTACACTTTACCAATAAGTCATTTTGTTGAGTACAGTAGTCGCAGTTTTTATTGAAGTATTATAATTTACCATTGAGCAGCTGTTTCGAGTAATTCTTAGTGTTAATATATCGGAAAAGTTTATCACTGAGTCTGATAAATAATTCCTTATGTTTCATGTAGCAGTATATTTCTTTAAAGTGTAACTAATAGTAATAGTTTACTATAGTTAACTATAGTTTACTATAGTATCAAAGTTTTTTCACTATAGTAAATCAAAGTATTTTTACTATGGATTTCAGAGCGTTATATTTATTGTTCTTCAATTCATACCTGCAAATTTTTTTATATTTAATTGAAATATTATTTGTATAATCACATATAATTTCCAAATTTTACATAACTGTTATCGAATTTTAGAGATTTTAAGCTTTGAAATATCAAAAAAAGTTCCAGAGTAAAGTTTCATAGTAAATCAAAGTATTAAAGTTTTCACTATAGTTAACTATAGTAAACTATAGTTAACTATAGTAAATTTTTGTTAGGGTTGTAGCGGTATATTTAACCACCGAGTCACTCAGTTTATTAAGTCTTAGTGTTTCTTGTAGAAGTAATTTTACCAATAATCCAAAGTGTTGAGTACAGTAGGTATTATTGTCTATTGTAGCTGCTGTAGCAGTAAATTTTCCACTGAGCCACTGTGTTGAGTGAGTCCTATTGTTACAGTAGTAAACTAGAATTTTACCAATGAGTTACTGTATTAAATAATACTTTAAGTAGAGTTTATTTAACTAATGAAACATTGTGTTGAATAATTCTTAATATTTATTGTAGCAGTATATTTTACTATTGTGCTAATATGTTGAGTAATTCGTTGATTATTAGAATTCTACTTCTGAGCCACTGTGCTGAGTAAGTCTTAGTGTTAATTGTAGCAGTATATTTTACCACTGAGCCAATGTGGTGATTAATTCTTAATATAGTTTATTGAAGTGTGTAAGATTTTTACAACTGTGTTACTGAGTGTTGAGAAAGTCTTTAGTTAGTGTTTTTTTAAAGCAGTATATTTAAACACTGAAAAACTGTGTTGAACAGTTTTTAGCGTTATTATTAGGGATGGCAACGAATATTCGAACATTCGAATATTCATTCGATGAGTTGATATTCGAATATGAATTTAAGATTCGAATATTCGGTGTTTTTCAGATTTCATAAAAAGAAGTACTGTGATTAATAAATTTTGATTAGAACAATGCTGGAATTATCCCTGTTTAATTTACTAGCGATCAATTTCGATCGACTGATTTCTTTCACTGCTTTCTTATCTTATAAATCTTCTAAATTATATGTATGTTGTTTTGAGTAAGGTGTTGTAAAGAATTTTACAATAATGCTTTCTGTATAATACAAAACGTACTTTCATAGCTTTTATTAGTTATAGATACGATCGGATCTAGAATCGAGGACAACAAATGAAATCTAAGAATATCTAAAAGGCGGGAAGAATATACTTATCAAAATAAAATTAATTGATCATTGAATGAATGTCCGATAGAATTAATCTGTAATTAATATTGTAAAGGGCTTAATTTCAGAATAAATGTGTAAATTACTTTATTATCTCGGGTTGTACATAATTTATATTCATTATCGGGAAAACAGTTAATTACCTAGGAAAATTGTCTATGGAAATATTTGTTTACATTGTATCAAAGATTATTATCATATCTCTTATCAGGCAGATAATTGTAATTTATTACACGTATTGAAATCTGAACAGTATACCGTTACGGCTATCTTGCCTTTTGTGAGACGACTGGTTCCTCAGGTGGGGCTACTACAAATACACGTTTCATTTGTTAAAATTATACTTTTCTACATTTAAATCAATTATTTATTTCAAACATTGACAAATATCAAATGGAATTTCTTATTGTACACCTACAAAAGTCTTCATACAATTGTACTTCCTATACAAGTATACCTACGAGAGTAGGATGATGCATATTTAAAATAAAACAGATTTTATTTATTTTATCGAATATTCTAATATATTCGAATACTTTCATTTAATATTCGAATATGAATTATTGACAAAATTGACATCCCTAGTTATTATAGCAGTATATCTTACCACTGAGGCAATGTTTTGATTGTTTCTTACTGAGTTTTACATTTACAATTGAGTCAACGTATTGGGTAAGTCTTAGTTTTTTGGTAATAGACAAGTTAGTATATTTAATCACTTAAACACTGTACTTAGCAAGTATAAGTGATTATTATAGTTGTATAAGTCTTAATCTTTATTGTAGCAGGAGATTTCATCACTGAGCCAATAGTATGGAGTTTAGTGTTTCATTTACCAATATATTTTTCTGCTTCAAACTACTCTGCTGAGTAGGTCTCAATGTTTATTGTAACAGTATATTTTACCACTGAGGTAACTGTGTTGAGTAAATTTATAAGACAGTGTTAATTGTACACGTATATTTTTCCACAGAAATTCTGTGTTGAGTAAGTCTTAGTATTTATTGTAACAGTATATTTTACCCCTCAGTAACTGTGTTGAGTTGGTCTTAGAGTTTATTGTAGCATTATAATTTACCACTCAGTAACTATGTTGAGTAGGGCTCAATATTTATTGTAGCACTATATCTTTACCACTGAGCCACTGTTTTCGCAAGTTTTATCATTTATTGCAGGGTTCGACACTAACGTTAGTCCGTTAGTCTCAGACTAATACATTTTCATTCGGACTAATAAAATCTGTGGCTAATTAGTCCGAGCGGACCAATAAAAATTTCTGGAAAACAAAATGAATAAATTTCCGATGTCCGATTCTCGACAACTTTTACTGAAAAACCCCGCGTGTATTTTTAGATTTCTAGCTTTTGGCGGGTAGTTACGCAATTCCGAGTCAATTCAGCGCTTAATTTTTCGACTGAGTGATCGATATGAAGTAAAAAGTTTTTAGCGATCATGATTTAGTATGACACTTTATAGAAAGATGTTGAACGTTTTGGATGTAATGTAAAGACAAAAAAAAAAAAAAAAAAACGAGATCGGGAATATGGTGGTACATGCTGATTGCGAGATTTCAAGGAATCTGTGGAATAATATATTTCACGTAAATGCTTTGTTTATTTCAAAAAAAGTATAAAATGTATATTAATTGTCAAGTTAAATTAATGTTAAAAATCACAGATGTTTCTTTTTCTTTCATTTTTTGACGGACTCGTAAAACCGCGTGCGGACTAGTAAAAGTAAAGAAGCACTAGTCCGGCCGGACTAAAGCCTTAAAAAGTTAGTGTCGAACCCTGTATTGTTGCAGTAGATTTTCCCACTTAGTAATTGTGTTGAATAAATTTAAGTGTTAATTGTAGCATTATATCTAAACCACTAAGCCACTGTTTGAGTAAATCTGAGTGTTTATTGTAGCAGTATATTTTACCACTGAGTAACTATGCTGAGCAGGGCTCAATGATTCTTGTACAATGTAGCAGTATACTTTACCACTAAGCCACTGTGTAGAGTAGACGTCACCATACAGCTCCACTGAGTATACCATGACCACCTTATCATTGTCACGCTTCATTGACTTACAAAACCCTGAAATACAATTATCCATAGTCAGAGATATTAGACAGTGATTTGTGCTCATAAACTTATTGTTCATCCGTACATTTGTACGAGTCTTAATTGGTATTTTATGTTAGCATTTTCAACAATTATTTATTTCTGTATCCTTTTCAATAGGAGTAAAGTAAATTATATATTAATGTAATAAAGTTGATAAATAAATGAGCACAGTTTTATTAAAATTTCATTTAGCTTGAGCAAAGAAAAGTGTATCAGCAAAATTACTTTAAAATGAAAAAAAAAGAAAGACTGGAATAAATTACGTGTTTTTTTATTCAACGGAAATAGATAACATGCTTAATAATATCTTTAATATCAAATTGGTATACTTCTGTTAAGCAATCTTAAGAAAAAGTTGCCATAGAATATAAGATAAGTTTCCAACCAATAGCTTGTAAACTAACATTTGCCGTTCTTCTTGCCATCCACAATGTTCGAGGTAAGCATAACGATTTCTTTGAACATTAACTCCACTGTTCTAATTTAAAATGTTAAATGTTTGCAATGCAATTATATTTTAGTACGATTTTAATTTTGATTTGAAAAAAAAATATCCAATGTAAAACAGGATATTTGTTGACCCTGACCTGATTTCGGAAAATGTTTTGATAAATTGTCCGATGATATTAAAATCAGAGCTTTCCTGTGAAAGAAAATTATTATAATCAGTTCCCCATATGTTAAAAAGTTCCTGTTGTTGTATTATCCTTATTGGTGATCCAACTTAACTGTGAATTAAGTAAAATCTATTCCTCATTTTGAAAACGAAATAATGAAAGATTGGCCCCTGATTTAAAAAATGTTTTAAAAGTTTGAAATATAGTATACATGCATCAGGAAAAGTGACAAATGGACTGTCATTCGATGAAGAAAGTTTAATTTTATTTTTATGTGATCTTGTACTTTTACAACTTCAGGAAATTTAGGTATAATATATACAGATACAAAAGATCTCTAACTACTGATTATTTATTTACCTATTTATTTTTGCACAATAGTGTTTACCCATGTGATGCATACAACATTTTAATTACTGGAGAAAACAACATATCCTGCGACATATTGAAAAAAGATAAGTAGAATGTTTTATTCTGAGAAAACGAAATACCATAGAAAGGGAAGTACATGACGTTCTGATGTTAGAAGTAATGCATTTATAAGTTTTATTACATTTTCAACAGTGAAATACTGTGATTTATTTATTGAATAAAAGTGATATTCTCTCGCAGTGTGAAAGAATACCAAAAATGATATTCTCTCACAGTGTGAAAGGATATCAAAGTAAGTAAAAAATAATTTCTGGCCTGTCATAAGATAGAGATAGTAACTGAGCATTTTGATAGAGCTAAAACTGAAAATTTCTTTCTAAATATGTTGCTAAAATCCATGCTATGTAATGTTTTCAATCTGACACACAACTTCTAAGCTATGACGTCTCATACGTCAAGCCTATGACACTGTGTTAAGAAAAGACAGAGGCAAAGGGAAAATCAAAGAAAATGTAATAAACAGAAAATTCAATGTTTTGTAGATGAATATGGAATTTATTTCACTCGTGAGACAGGATTTTTTGATATTTTCACGAGTGCGAAGCACGAGTGAAAATATCAAAAAATCCTGTCCCACTCGTGAAATAAATTCCATATTCATCTACAAAACATTGAATATCCTCTATGTATTTGACTTTACAGAGATCATTGCCAAAAGCGAGATGTCGTAGTAATGCCCCCCATCTCATATGTCATGCAGGGCGTTTGACGGGTTTAGATTCAAATGACATAACGAAAATACGAATTTTTACTTATGACAACTATAGAATAGGTAAATGTACCATATGTACTAACCCTTAATGTTTGTTTAAGTTTAAAATTACTGACAAGAATCATATTAATTTACATTTACTTTTAAAATCAGATGCAATGTGGAGCAATCAGAAGATTGAACTGACGAGAGAGAGATTTCCTACAATATGATTTAAGTCTTCAGTTGTGTGCACCTTGATCTTTCATGTACATGTATGTTAAATTTGAAACATTTTTTCTAATACTTATATCGGAATAGAAATAAAGGGAAAATATATTCCTTTCTATTATGCATGTACATGAAGGAACTACTAATTTTGTCATGCTGATATTTTACAGCTTAAAATTACTTCATTTGATGTCTATGTATTCATTCTATATCTTATTTTTAAAAAATTGTCTATTATGTGAAGTAATTAAAAAAAAAATTATTTCAGAATGACGAAAAAAATTTTGTTCTAATTAGAGAGTCTAGTTGAAACAAGTTTATGGAGCCATGTAGCGATTAATCTTGTAAAGTGTATTAAAAGTCTTCATCAACGCAATTAATGAATAAAAGTTCAAGACAGACAAGGCAGGCAAAGTCATGTACTATGGTTTGTCAAAGAAAAGTATCTTGTGTTGAAAAAGTGTTAATTTGAAGCAAATGACATTTTGGTTGTGAATGTAAAGTAATTTGAAACAGAATACAAATGTATATTTCATAATGTTCCTCTATGAACATAAATAATGGTAGATGCATCTCAAAGAATAACTGTTTAAGACTTATATTCAGGGTCCAAAAAGGTTGATCATAATCACTAGTGCCAAGAAGAAAGCATATACATAGAAAATAACTGAATTTCTGCAATCATTAAAACGAGTTTACCCTACATGAAGCTGTTAACGGTAATTAATATTTTTCATTCATATGACGTTTCTGTAACACAGGATACTGTAACACAGGATAGTGGATATACTTATACCTCCCTATATATAGATACTGTACTTACATTTGAATGCCTTTATAGCGTGTTCACTCCCATCCATAGCCACAACAACAGTTCTTTGTTTATCTGCCATATGTTCGTGTAAATTTCTCTCACACGTGCTCCTGCAGCAAGTTTTATTCACATACACCTTCTAACATAAACACATCGATAAACGTTTTAAGTCTTAGCGACTCCTTCTAAAGTCAATGACACAAAATACTGGTACGTTAAAAAAATACACTGAAGTTCATGTGTATGACGAACTGGCGTGAGAATTGAATTCCAGGTCAAATAAAGATCATTGAACCCTTTACCATTACACTATTAGCGTTTATATTTATACCACGTGATCAATTTAAAGGTCCTAAACGGAACATGTTTTGTGGTTAACTTCGTCGAAAACTAAAACACAGGACATGTTGTTTGTTTTATTGTATTTCATGGATCGTATGATATATACCTGAACTGTTAAGTTATTTGTCCATAAGCTTTCTTTTTTTTTAATAAAATTATCACGATTATTAGAACTGAAAAGGTCGCCACACCTTACAAAACTTTATGATAAGACTACATTTTACTGAATCTTTGCATTTCCATTATAAAATAGTCTAATTATTTAGGAAAATTCTGTATGAGTCATATGTTTATGGGAAAGTAGGTTTTTAGACGATGGCGTTTTCCCTCACCCATTGTTTGAATTTAAGTTCAAAAATTAAAACAGAAAAAAGAATTTAAGGATTCCGAAGAAGAAGGAAAGTCTGAAATTGAGTGTTAGACCATAAATAATATAAAGAAAAGTACTTTTAGTTAATTTCAAGATTCAGGTCATGCCACAAGCTTGTCGTGGCCTAGATTTTTATGAACTTTGTGATTTCTTCTAAACTTAAAAACAATATGATTTTTGGGAAAAAGTAAAAAAATCTCTAAATGGTTATAATGGAATCGATCGATATATAGAATTTCAGATCATTGTTTCTATCGCAAATTGCAGCAAATTTTCTTCTCACTCGGACTTCATGAATTATTATCTTAGACTGTTTTTAATGCTACGTGTTAAGAGGATAAGAAGAATAACATTGGATTTATGTCTCATGCGTTAATATATTTATTTAGAGGTTATCTTCCTTTACTTGTTATTGTGGTATAATTCCTTGCAAGTTAAGGACAGATGCTATTAACATACTTTTCTTTTTCAAAACCCCTGAAAATAATTAATATACGTTTATATAAAGAAAAGATATGGATGTTAAGTTGCATAAAGTTTCCATTTTTCATTCATAGTTTTTCAACAATGTTTTATAAAGTGAAGAAAATAGTTTAGATACATAAGGGTGATGAAAAAAAGAACAAATAAAAAGTCTACAAGATTTGACATTTAAGAGATTTGATATATACATGTACGTCACTTACAGCTGGAATAAGTTAAAAGAAAAGACCAAAACGTGCTTCAATTTGTTGTTTCTTAACTTGACAATCACATTCCACCTCAGTTCTGTATACCAGTATATTGATCACTTTTTTCCAATCCAGGAGGCACAAAATAGGAACACAAACTAATTTTTGCAATTATTTTCTTAAAGATACATGTAAAGATGATGACCCAACAAAGACATCGCTTATGCATGAGGAATGTCTAAAGAAAACAAAATCCATCGCAATGAAGCTTTTCTTACCACCACACAGAGCGTTCAACGCTCATAACCATTATAATGTATGGGGAAAATACTACTCACCTACATGTTGCACTATCAGATGACGTAACGATACAATATTCTTTTTATATAGCTGGATTCTAAATGTAGCCAGTGGGAAATTTAGTTTATTTCACAGTTCGCTTCTGGAACTTCTAGGCTTTAAAATTACAAGTTTGAAGTTACTTTTACTGATAATGGTGTTATAGAGCGCGTATTGAAAATGAAAAACAGGACACGAGAGAAATAGGATAAATATCTACTATATAGCCATTATCACCTCTTACATGTAGGAGACTTTTTTCCTTGTGTCTCTATACTGTCATTACGTAGATATTTAGTTTAGATGAACATAAAAAACACAGGTGACAATTACAATTTTCAGTTTGTTGTGTTATCACTCAAGTCAAATTGCCCGGTACGCATCCAGGAGTAAAGGGGATGATTTTAAAATATATATGCATTTCAATATTTCATCACTTTATCCTTAGCTCTGTGATTTGAATCCTGGAACTACAGGTCATAGATTTCTACACAGTTTTGGTAAATTCCATTGCTCATTATATTGCAATTTCGCTTGGTAGATGTTAATAGAATTTTTAAACACAATTATAAAAAAAAATTTCAATTTATTGCGGAACTTTTAGAAAATTTAAAATCACAAAATTTTACCAAAATCAATAACATCGAAACGTACGACTTTTCAACACTTTATAAAACCCATTCCCCATGATAAATTAACGACCTGGCTTTTTGAAATCATAAACAGCTGCTTTTTCAATAAAAACGGAACTTGTTAATTTACTTATCTTGTCATTGATCATTTTGCAAAATTATTTTGTTAAAAAACATTCTGATCGTACACACAAGTAATCCAAAGAACATGTAAATATCAAAAAGATGCTTGGGTTCCTTATTGACAATATCTATGTAGTATTCGAAACGTACGACTTTTCAACACTTTATAAAACCCATTCCCATGATAAATTAAAGACCTGGCTTTTTGACATCATAGACAGCTGCTTTTTCAATAAAAACGGAACTTGTAAATTTACTTATCTTGTCATTGGTCATTTGCAAAATTATTTTGTTAAAAAACATTCTGATCGTACACATAAGTGTTAAGTAATCCAAAGTACATGTAAACATTAAAAAGATGTTTGGGTTTCTTATTGACAATATCTATGTAGTATTTGGATATCAGGTCTTCCAACAATCTGTCGGAATTACCATGAGTACCAATTGTGCTCCTTTATTACATGTAGCAGATTGTATTCATATGAAGCAGAATTTATTTTTAAAAAACTTGTACATAAACGAAGAAGACATTGATGTGGCTTTAACTCGATATTAAGATATACCGAAGATGTATTATCAATTAACAATAGTTACTTAAATTCATATGTCAACTCGATATATCCCAGTGAACTTGAAATAAAAGATACCACAGAATCTGACAAATTTGTTTCATATTTGGATATATTACTAGAAAAAGATGTTAATGGTAACCTAACAACAAAACCTTGTGATAAACGTGATGACTTCAGCTTTTCTATCGTCAACTTTCCTAATTTATGTAGCAATGTACCCTTATCACCTGCATATTGGGATTATATCTCCCAGTTGATTCGAAACGCAAGAGCATACATCACGTACGCACAATTTCTAAAATAAGACAAGCTATTGACAAACAAGTTTATGAAACAAGAATATCAAAGTCTCGTTTAAAGTCATCATTTTGCAAGTTCTATGATCATTACAATGACCTTGTCAGCAAATACGATTTATTATTAAGTGGAATGCTGACTGACGTTTTTCATTTTAATTGTTAGGCCATTACTTAAACGTTTGCTCGATCATGATAATGAGCACACGTCGGCTGTGACCGGTCGACAGGGGATTCTTACTCCTCCATGGCAAATCTTATTCTCTACTCATTACCACTTCCAAACTTTTTTCATAATTACGATGAGTACTTTACCCTTAACCACAATGACTGGTATAACAAGTTTATGAAGCTCGGGCCCATTGTTCAGGCCAAGAAAAGGGTCTAAGTTGGTCAAATATTGAAAATAAGTTACACCTTTTCAATTTTTTTCTTTACAAAGCATTAAAAACCCGAGTGACCATCAACGACCATCTAGATCTTCCTCTTGTTTTTCCTCAAATTTTGTTTCGTTCTGCTTTGTTTTATTTTCAAATTGCTTTTGTTAATTGTTTCTTGCTCTTCAACTCAGAGAAAGATATTTTTCTATTTAGATTGATTATATCCGCCAATTCAATGCATGTTTATTGACATTTAATATAATGATAATAAGAAAAGATATTAATTACACCTATCATTAATGTGAATCCCAACACGTAGGCTTTGTACCTGTGTATCCTAAAACTAAGAAAAATTAGTCTAAAGGAAAAAAAATCACATCTATGCTCCCTTTATAATGCAAAGAAGTCATGTTCCTCTGAATACCGAATATATATATCCCTACATAATTCAGTCATTGAAAATAACAGGAAAACAGTCACTCGATCTGTTTAGATTTTGATATTAGGATATGATTCTACAATGGATTTTTCTTAGTTTGAACGCTACAACAGCTTGCGTTGGATGACATTTTAATTTTGATGCACAAGGTAAAAATAAAGTATACTTATGCATTTACAGTTTCATCTGATATTCCTCGAAATGTGATAAGAAATAGAACAGTTCCTATCTGAAGTACCAGGAAAATTATACAATACTTACGCCATGTGACAAAAGCTTTGATCATACGCTCGATAGTATTGTTGTTATCTTTTTCAAAAGATCGTTTGATCGACTCCTTACGATTGTGTTAATTTCTTCTTGTTATTCAGATTTTTATTAGAAAAAAATCTTACTTCACCATTGAATTGGATCTCCAAAACCACCAGACTCAAGAACTTTCTGAATACGTGAATTATCTTTGTGCCAGTCGCCGAAAAGATAATAGATGAGCAATTGAGAAACCAATAATTTCTTTGTTTTTTTATATAACACTTACCATGATTATTTTTCCTTGATCTTCTCTTTTGTCTGTGATGCTTGTTGAATAGTATTAATATCACAAAACAAATGCTTGCTGGTCAAACTGACACCACTGTAACGTACATGTAATAACATGTTTTCAACATATATACGATTTACATGCATTAAATAACTTCTCAGAGATAAAAAATCGAGTGTTCGAATTAGACTTTATTTGTGTCCATCTTTGCTCTCACAACCTTGCTTTTCATTATATTTACAAATAATGACAGGTACAGCTGCATGTCTGAGTATATAGTCACTAACACTTCCCATCAGAGTCCGCTTTACTTTACTGAGTCCTCTGGTTCCAGTAACGATGAAGGACGCATGGATTTCTTTGGCTGCGGACACTATTCCTTCACCCGGTGATTTTGCATCGATTGCATTAACCTCTCCTAAAATCTAAATTCAAATACAGAAGACTAATTATGTAAATATTGCATTGATTCTCTTTATTCATAACAATATGTTTCCCAGTAGAATAAGGGAGGCATACTGTTTTACCCCTAAATTCTTATTACTTATATACAGGTATATGTACCCATCCCAACGTTCAATCCTTTAACTTGGACTTAGAGTGCAAGAGAATACAATTACATGTAGATGTAGCGTCAACACCCATGTCCAAACATGGAGTATGAGATGATATTGAAAAATTAATTAGAAAAAAAAAAAGCTTTCGTCATCGTCGTTAAATTTTGTCATTAATATATAGTTAACAATACAGGCAGCCAGTTTCGAATTTCATCACTAAACTATAATATACATGTACTTTAATGTATGTTTATAGACTACATGGGTTCGTGGGTACCCAAGAACTAAACTGATTGCCTGAAGCTGTCAGGCCGAAGACAAACAGTTTGATTCGAGGGGATGGCAAAACACATGTTGACCTATAGACACAGTCAAAAAAAGTGTTGTTAAACAAGTACATTTTACTTTTCATTATAACTTATGTTGCACTGGTTTCCACGTTTGCAATGGATATGACATTTTTTTTATTATTATTAATTTCGTTTAACCGCAATGCAGGTTTCACTTGGTAAGTTTCGTAAGTGTCAATCTCTAACGAATGCAAATAAGACTTAGCTGATCCCGTCTACACTGAGGGAAACGTCATAGGGGTCCAACATCTCATCAAACGGTCCAACATCGATGTTTTTGACCGTTCAGTAAATCATTAAAAATGTTTAACTTTCCCTAGAATAGATTTATATAGGAAGAAACTTTTACAGATATAAAAATATGTTTTACTGTTGCTTTAGTGATTAAATTGCCTTTGTATTTCAAATAGATTGTTCCAAAATGTGTACTGTGCATTTTTGATTTACGGTAATTAGTTTGCTGCCGTCATCGTTGCATTGTCATGTGCAACCAATTCTTTATTCACAAAAATACATACACCATCCCGATCGCCTGTGCTTAACGCACGTTCTGAAATTTAAAATTTGGTAACTCTTCCTCTCTTTATTTTAAGGAAAGGTTTGTACAAAGTACACAGTTAATGCATAATTTCAATCTACAAATTAACAGTTTCCAACTAAACATGTAGGTCTGGTATTCTCCTATCTTTTGTGTTGAAGTGTGCATTCTAATGACAAATTCCAAAAACGTAGCTCAATCAAATCATATAACAGACAATAATTAGAGTACATACAAGTATCAAAGTTCACTTCTTCACAGGCCAAAGTGTTTCAGTCGGCTTCGCTCCCCATAAACCAGATTACGCCACTAAAAATGTGCTTTAATTTTTGTGTGCAGTGAGTATGCATTTTTTTCCATAGATGACACTGTGGCTCTCTGGTCGTCCATCCCAATTTGTTTTCAGCCCAGCGAGCAACAAATCTGCAGCTTATACTGAATTTGACTATGGATTGTTCCGTCTACCTGATCCAATACATTGGGCTCACGGCAGGTGTGACCGTTCAACAGCGGATGCTTACTTCTCCTAGCATAGGCACCTGATCCCACCTTTTGAATTTCCAGGGGTCCGTGTTTTATGCTCTCTTCACAGATTTGCATTGTTTATATTTTTTTTAGATCGATAACTGCTCGTTGTCTTTACCTCTTTCATTTTGAGTGTGTTCCTATATTTTATTAAAATGGATTTTGTTACATGTATTTGTTTAGAATTCAGAGTGTTTTAAACGCGAAAACTTGAAGACGCTTTATACCTTCAGAATGATATTCAATAACTTAATGAACAGCTTTTTCGTGTTACATGCTGCTGGTGCATGTGTCGCCACAGTAATCTTGATTAAATGTGATACAAGTAACAGCTTTTCTAAACGTTTTCCTGACAAAAGATATCTCTTTCCTCATCCTTTTGCAAACCATATCATAATAAATAATTGTTAAAAGATACAATACACGGGATAGTTTTGATATAGGGATATTTTCCTCGTTTAAAATAGAATAACAAGGGAAAAAGTACTTCATTACTTGTAAAGTTTATTTGCATTTTTAAACAGGAAATCGAGCTATTACGATTTGAAACAGTATACTTTATTAACAGGATGCAAAAAGACTCCTTACGAAGAGCAAATCGAAATATACCCCTATTGATTCCTCCACTGTGCAACTATTTATTCACTTTATCTTTCACTTTAGCAACAATTTTCTCCACTTTGTTTAATAAATCATTGTCAGAAAAGGTCCCATGACTTGCACAAGCTTTGCTCAGTATCAATTGATTTCATTACTTTTACTGTTTATTTATGAAAATTAGATAAACAGTTGTTAAGAAATTATAACGAGAAATCGCATACAGAAATTATTTCTGCCCACATAAATGACAAGATGCACTAAATTACAGATCTAGAATTGATATTAATTGTTCAACATAAATCACAATGTTTAATTTGCACTTCGATCAGGAGAAGAGGTAAACTGGTACACAGGGATGACTTTTCATCGTAAATTACTTGTTTTATAACACGTAATTGATATTTTCCAACTATTGACGAAGTAAGGCGGTTATAAACTATAGATTTCCTTGTTCCCTGTACTCATTAAAAGGGGTGGATCTGATCAGGAAAGAAAACAGTAATAAATGTTGTTTTAAGTTTATATAATAAATATTTGCCGTCATTTTGAAAGGCCTAGGTCATAGATGAAGAAACATAACGTAGAAATGTTCTATCATGGTCATCCCCTTTTCCCTAATATAACCCAAAACCGAAGTTACTGACGAGATTTTGACCATACTGGAATGGCTTATAATAAAAAAAAAGAGAAAAATAGCAAATGAACTCGAAACTTACAATAAACTGCAACAAGATCAATAGAATCATATTTGTTGGTAAGTCTACTTGACGTGTACCATGTTTTACTGAAATCAGATGAATACCGTAAGAGGGATAGCCTTCTGAAACGATTTCACAGAAATTTAATTTTGTATCTCGCGAGTAACTTTACATAATTTCTTCAAACTGTTTCAAAAGTTTTATTTTAAAGAGGCTGGGTGCACGTGGTTATTAAAATTATCAAACTCAAACAGATCCATCTAAAAATATGAATATAATTTTCGTAGTTGTAAACTGTTATATAGAAAAGACCACAATTTGTACCTATCATATTAATGCGATTTCCTATATTTTCATACAGAACTGTTCTGTCCAGGGAGGTTCAGATAATTTTAAAATGACCAAGACCCTTTTTTACAAACTTAAATCAAATGGAACTAAAATTATAGGAGGAGTCGTGTTTTGAAAAATTGTTCACAAACAAACAGACAGACACATACCAAGCTATCACATTAGCTCTTAACGAGGTTCGCTCCTGAGCTTTTGAGCAGATTTTTATCTTAACCTATATTTCAAAAAGTCTGCATAATGTTTTAATTCTTACAATAAATTTGGATTCTACAAAGCCAATTCAACTATATTCAGTTAAAATTCCATGATTAAATTCCATACCAAAAGCATTAAGTGAGGAACTATATTTTGTGGCGGAAGGTTTTTTAGAAGAAAATGATCATTTTTTTCTCTTTATAAGTATTTAAAGTATGTAAAGTTTGGATTCCTATTTTATTATGCAGTCTGCACACAGAGTTATTTTGTGCAGTGAACTGTTTTATAATGGTCTTAAATTATATATTAAATAAACTGTCATGAATTCTATCATCATATTTGATAAATATAGCAAATATATTGTGAAAATCAAGAAAAAAATAACCCTAATTTAAGCTTAAAATTAGCACTAATTTAGTAATATCTAAAAATTAACATCACAGACCCCCACTTTTAATTTTCTTTTCTGAAAATATGAGATACTTTTAATCATTCTTCTTAAATTCAGTAAAATGTCATTACTTTCAAATGATTTTTTTGCTTGTTAAATTTTTAATGCCAGAAAAATGAATTTTTTGAGTGCAAAAAGGTCAAATAATTGAACATGCGGAGTAATTTGAAATTTTTTTCATTGTCACAAATTTTAATGTGTCTATTTAAGATGAAATAAGACTGTGTCTGTTCCCATAATTTATTTTAATAAAAAATATTGGACGAAAAACTTTAAAAATTGATTTATGTCTAATACGTTTTTACAGTGCAAAAAGGTCAAACTAAATGCTCTGTAGCGCCAAAAGAAGCGCATTGACCCCCATTTTTTGTTTTGATTTTTAGTTGAGCTATGTGTATTAATTCTAAAAATATACTTGATAAAAAAATCTCATTACTTTTGATGGCAGGATCCAACCTCCTTAAGACTTTTTGATTTTAAATAGTACATGTATATAGAGCTATAAAAATGTTGATTAACTGTAAGGCAATGCGCAAAGTCTACATTTGTCTGTACTTATAAGACATACATTACATCGATGACGCAACAGAAGAAGAATACATTAAAATTTTGGTTGCAAGATAATCGATGTACAGCATTATTGCAAGATGATGAGAACAAGAATACAAAGAGAAACAAAACAATTATTTAAATGGGTTTCCTTTGTCGAAGGATGAAAAATCATGAGATCAATTACCAACCAAAACAAACACCATTCTAATTAGAACAAACACAGTGTAAATTCAAAAGATTTCAAAAACTTTGAAGTTTCAAGTACTCAAGCAATCGTTCTGTTCGTTATGTATTGGCACTGTTTATTTATTACGAGAGTCAAATTGAAAACGACGATATGAAGTATAACTGTGAAACTTTCAAGTGAGTGACCACTGTTTCGCACCACACGAAATCAAACCTATACACAGTTTGACATGACGTTAGGCAGTTTGCTTACCTTTGCGTTTGCTAACATCTTTGAAAAGTTTTTCATAACTTCTTTGTGTCTGGATCTTTCTTTATCAATGGCTTCACCAACCTTCTCTTCGTCATTTTCAGTAAAAGCTGCAGCAAAAAAATGTTTACATTCACCTTTTGTTGAAAAAGAGACATTACAGTGAAAAAGATAAAGATAACGACCAGAAGAAAATATAATTGACACAGTTGTGTGAAAGACATAAAACTTTTTTTTTAATTCGTCTCCTTTTAAAGGATAAAAGGGGGTCCTGTATACTGAGTATGGTAAATATAGATTATTTTCGTGATTTTCGGGGGGAAACGTTCGTATTATCTTCCGAAAACTGTGTCATTACTTAAGAAATCACTGTCTAGTTTGTATGCCAGGGCATTGAGCAATTGGAAACTTGGGATTATTTCCATAACGGGCGAAGCCCTTTAATACATAAATCATCCAACGTATTTACCGGTTGTTAATGTCCCTAGAATACTCAGCAAACTAGACAATGATTCCTTATGTTTTACATTTATATGTTAAAAAATGTTAATATGAATCAAAAATGCTATCTGATAGAATTGAAATACATGTACACGATTATAACACAAAGCATTTCATGTTAATTTTTATAGTTCCCGCCCACTGAGGTCAGACACAATGACAACCTGAGAGATTGACAACTGAAGCATATTAGGCACTTGACCTTTCACTTGTCGAAATTTACATTCAATTGTACATATTGCGCTTTTAACATTTCAAAGAATTACTAAACTGAAAACAGTTGGAAATGGATATTTATTAAGATCAAGTTACGAAAGCATAGACTTGTCTATGATATATGTATTAAAATGGTGTCTACGTAATAATGCACGCTGATTATATGTTTAATCTTCAATATATCGTTCATTCTGTCTGAAAAATGTTTAAGGTATAGACTGAACATCGTATCTATAAAGTCAAAGTCACTTGGCAAGAAAATTGTAAAACTGTTACGGGTCCTTACCCGTAAGGTTACCGTCGGCCCATGATTGCATTGAATTTCAAGGTTGAGTATATTGTTGCTGAAGACCCGTAAATGTACGTCATATATAATAATGACAAAGATAAAATACATGTAGCAGAGGGAATCATATGAGTTTGTTAAACAAAAGCATCTTGTTGAGATATAAAATAATATCTATTATATTTAAAATAAAGAAATGGGTATTTCAATAAAAGAAAAATAACAAATAGGATATGCACTTAAATGCGGTAAAAGCAATATAATTGTGCCTGTGTATCCGTAAAAAGCGATTCATACAATCACGTAATCGTTTGCGAAATCGATTTCCATGAAAATTTAGATTTTTCTAATTCAATATATATTTTTATCTAAAGCTTCACTTTTATATAGCAGTATAAGAGATCGTCTTCTTTAAATAAATGCAACTTCCTACATCGACTCAATCGGAAAATATAGTCATTATGCATGTGCTAAATCAGTAACTTATACAATGTGGTTCAGCGAACATTTGTTTCGTATTTCTTTGCATTATTTATCATGACAAATATGGGTCATTAATATCTTGTATTGCACTCATTTCGGAACATGCATCAACCTTTATTGCCATTGTAGAGCACTTGTTGCCAGCTGTGAAGAAATTGATGCTTTATATTCCCTGTACACAGATAAATGAGGAGTTACTACCGTTTGCAATGTATAGACATAAACTATGAACAATGATAAATATTGATTACGGATGCTTTACTACATTTTATTTTATTGCATTGTTTTTCATCAAGGTCGGGTTAAATGACTGTTGATTTATAGAAATGGATGCTCAGAGGATGTATTCAGTTTTGTTGTTTAACAGTTAAGGAATGTCTGTAAGCTAAACCGATATTTCGTTTTAAAGACTTGATTTCTCTGAATGAACATTTTAATAATTAAAACCATATTGAGGGAGGTTCCTCTGATAAGAGAATTACTCTAAAAAAAATTAATTATTAATTTCTCCCATACTTTATTCTTCAATATCATCAATAGTTTTTTCTCCAACTTCACCAATATTTTTTTCTCAAAATTGAACGGTATGATATACATGCATGAACCTGGCTTAAATTTTGAGGGTTTCTTTTTGGTCCTAAACTGTCATAAATGCAATGAAGATAAATCAATTTTAGTGAATATGGACGGGCTCTCTCTTTCTCTCATGACATCATACAGTTAAGAAAACATCCATACTGAAAAAGGGCTGACTACTTATTTAAATGTTCCATAAACATGTATCATTAGCGAAGGAAAGGTCAGGGAAATGAAATCCTATTTTTTTTTTATTCCTAAGAAAATAAAACGGCTAGAAAAAAAATAGTGTCATAGTGTCACGTATCCCTTGTTGACCATTTTTGAACTTCTATAAAAAGATGTAGATTCCCAAGATAGTATCTACACAGTCAGAATAAGGCAAAGACAACTTTTTTTAAAATTCGGCCCGATGAACTTGGAAGAAGTACTGCTCCTTGAATTGGTAAAAAGACTACAGTATACAACCTTGTGCTGAACTTGACTTAACAAAAATGTTCACAGTATACAGTTTGTAATTGTAATTTTGAACTTACAGTAAAGCCACTTAGTCTTCAGCTCAGAATGGAATTCAACTGCATACACTAATACAACTCTATCCCCTGGCCTGTAGATATTCTGTGCGTACCCTAGGAAGAAAATGGAGTTATTTAAAACTGGGTCTAATTCCTAAAAATATAACTTGTTTACAGGTGTAGATTACAGGGTTTAGTCGACTCATTTTCAGAGGTGATTTACAAATATATGCATACACGTACATTTAAATTTAAGACCTTGAACCAAAAAGTTTTTTTTTTCCCTTATACTTGTGCAATGATTTCAACACTTCAAATAATGAATTAAGTTTTACGGAAAAAAGTTTGATTTATACTCACAATAAAATGCAAATTTAGAGTCTTCACTACCATCTAAAGCAATAAGCACTGTCCGAGGGGGAAATGTCTCTGTAATATCGCCGAACGACGCTGATCTCGAACCACTAGAGTGATTATGGTGTCCATAAGCAAATTTAAGCATTATATTTCCTCAACAACACATGTATGCCTAAAATGGTTGAACATTAAGCACTAAATCTCTCTCGGACACCGAACAGCTTTGAAGGTCGATTGTTTGTGAATATAATGCGTATTTTTACTCAGGTTTATATATCACCCGCATAGACAATAAATATGCATAATTATCAACCAGGATCAGTTGGCCATCTGCATCTGAAGTGGACCCGCGGGCAGGCACCGTCACATAACAGATGTCAAAGGATCGACAAACACAACAAAAACAGTCCCAGAAATCAACACATTCAAACAATGTTATAAATGGGGAAATTAATATGAAATGCCGCTGTTGTAGTACAGGAAATCGGGCAGGAAGTTAAAGAACGGAATGTACTAGGGATATGATATGAATGTTGTGGTTTAGTATGCGTGCACGCGAGCTGCGCGGGCAAGAAAAATGTACATGACATTTGATGTTAAGGTCAGTGTGGTGATTTGACAGCACGAGTCTACGATTGTGAAGTGTTAACATGACTCAGACATACTCTTTTTTACTTTGACTCGCAAAACTGTGTTTTGTATTTCATTTTATATTATTTTTCATCTCTTCCTCGTTGTACATTTAAGATGGGAAATTCCCGCTTTCTCAGAAATAGTTCAACTGAGGATTTTCAATTTCCCACGAATAACCTCTAGTATTCAGAGGAATTTGGAATCATTTTTAATTCAATATGAATTGAAATTAAACCTCTACAGTTTATGTCAACAATATCGACATAGTCGAGGCAAATAGCTTTTTTGAAAGCGCGTTTGGGTCCATATTTATTTTTGAGGATGTTTATCTTTATAGCATAAAATTTATTGTATTGTCATTTTTTGTAGTAATTTCACGATACATGTATCTATTAATTTTAAATGTGTGATTATTCTGTTCAGAGCAAGGTCAGATTTTTAGGTCACCTGAGTCACTCAGGTGACCTATTGCTATCCGTTTTTGTCCGTCGTCGTGCGATGTGCGTTAACATTTGAACATTTTCAGCTTCTTCTCTGAAACCGCTCAACCAATTTCAACCAAATTTGGCTTATAGCATCTATGGGTGAAGGGGAATAAAAATTGTGAATTTCATGGTCCCTGCCCCCCCCTCCGGGGGGCCTGAGGGGTGGGGCTAAAACCACCAAAATGAATGCAATCTTTAAAAATCTTCTTCTTTACTCCTGGACATCAAGCAGTCAAACTGTTCGCATGATTGTAATAGGCATTGAGCCCTCTACCAAAATTGTGAAAGTCATGGCCCGAGGGTCAGGGGTTCTGGTGCTAGAGCGGGGCTATATAGATCATATATTGAAAATACATTATTTCTTTGAAAATCTTGTTCTCTGCTCCTGGGTATTAAATAAAGTAACTAAGTACATAGTTATGATGAGCAAGAGTGCCTCTTTCAAAATTGTGAATTTCATGGCCCCAGGGTCAGGGGTTCAGGTGTTAGGGCGGGGCTCTATTGATTATACAGTGAAAATGCATTATTTCCCTGAAAATCTTGTTCTCCGCTCCTGGGTATTAAATAAACTAACTAAGTACATAGTTATGATAAGCAAGAATGCCTTTTCCAAAATTGTGAATTTCATGGCCCCAGGGTCAGGGGTTCAGGTGTTAGGGTGGGGCTATATAGATCATATAGTGAAAGTGCATTATTTCTTTGAAAATCTTCTTCTCTGCTCCTGGGAATTAAATAAACTAACTTAGTACATAGTTATGATGAGCAAGAGTGTCTCATCCAAAATTGTGAATTTCATGGCCCCAGGGTCAGGGTTCAGGTGTTAGGGCTGGGCTCTATTGATTATATAGTGATTTCTATGAAAATCTTCTTCTCTGCTTCTGGGTATTAAATAAACTAAAAACACAGTTATAAAGAGCAAGAGTGCCTTATCCAAAATTGTGAATTTCATGGCCCCAGGGTCAGGGGTTCTAGTGTTAGGGCGGGGCTCTATTGATTATATTGTGAAAATGCATTATTTCTTTGAAAATCTTCTTCTCTACTCCTGGTAATTATTTAAACAAACTAAGTACATTGTGACTAAAAGCAAGGATGCCTTATCCAAAATTGTGAAATTCATGGCCCAAGGGACAGGGATTCTGGTGCTATGGCGGGGCTATATCGATCCTATAGTGTAGGTGATTTATTTCTTTGAAAATCTTCTTCTCTGCCCCTGGGTATTATTTAAACAAACTAAGTACATTGTTATGATATGCCAGGATGCTTCTTCCAAAATTGTGAATTTCATGGCCCCAGGGTCAAGGGCTCTGGTGAAAAGGGGGGGGGGGGCTCTATTGATTATATAGTGAAAAAGCAGAATTTCTTTGAAAATATTCCTTTCTGCTTCTGGTTAAAAAGCAAAGAAGCTATGTGTATAGTTATGATGAGAAAGAGTGCTTCTTCCAGAGTAGTGAATTGCATGAGCCCTGGGTCAGATGTGCTGGCGTAAGGGTGGGGCTCTTGATAATATAGTGAAAATGCATTAATTCTATTTAATAATCCTGTCTGCTCCTTAGTGTTAAGCAGATAAACAAAGTGATTACTTATTTTGAGCAAACGTCTGGTCCAAGGGTGAGAGGATCTGGTGTTTTTCACTGGGGAGGGGGGGGGGGCTCTATTGATAATATAGTGAATCTGTAAGTAAAAATGCATTATTTCCTTAAAAATCTTCTCTGCACCTGGGCATGTCAGAGGCAAAAAGAGTAAATGGTTTATTAAGGAAGAGTATTTTTTTCCAGATTTTTGAACATCTGGACCTGGCCAGGGCTCTATTAATTTGTATTCTTCTGAGAGGAGTTATTCCCCTTTGCCATTTACTTTTGATAAATAATCACTGTATACAATGTACTTGAAAGGTTAATAGAATAAGAGAATTGTGCAAGAATTTTTATTGTATAATACAAAAAGTACTTTCATAGTTTTAATGATCAGTTAGACTTTTGAGTAATAGATAAATAAAAATGAGACAAAAATAACTTGTCTTATTAAATGTTCATCAAAGACCAAGAGAGGTGAATGTAAGAGTTTTCAACAAGTAATTAAAATAGTAAAGAAGCACTGATAGTTTGTTAAAATACTGTATGGTGATTGGTGATAATGATAATGGGGAACAGATAAGAACCTAAATTATGAACTGTTACTGAATGCTAGACTAATTATTTGTTGATCCTGATCATCCTATTTTTCTTGCTTTTGGCAACAAAGCTTCACCTTTCAGTTCATTTTATACTATATGGATCCTCTAAATTGTTGTATTATACTCAGGTGACCGTTAAGGCCCTTGGGCCTCTTGTTTATTACTTTGTATTCATTAGTTAGAGATAGTCAACAAACTATGCAATTTTTGTTTACAAATTGTATATTCGGCTCAGGCACTTGAGCAATAAGGCAATCTGTATCGATTGATCAACATTTCATTGCGTGGTCAGTGTTTTTCAAAGATAATGATGTTGAAATTGGTTAAGCTAATTGACTTTGGACACGTCCTAAGATTTCAAGTTAATTAAATTTATGAAATGTGGAATTCGAAATTAAACTTAATTTTAATTAGAGATACGGAACACTGATCACATGCTGACCACATGCATTCAGTCCCATGGGTACTAAGAAAATGGACAAGTAACAGTATATCATAGGAACCACACCGGTATAAAGTATGGCATGTCAATGTTGCAATATTCGATCTTTTCCATTTGTATTGTATAATTTTCTATTTGTATTGTATAATTTTCCATTTGTATTGTAAAAGTTTCCATTTGTATTCTATAATTTTTCATTTGTATTCTATAAGTTTTCATTTGTATTCTATAATTTTTCATTTGTATTCTATAATTTTTCATTTGCATTGTAAAATTTTCATTTGTATTCTATATTTTTCATTTGTATTCAATAATTCTTCATTTGTATTGTATATTTTTTTATTTGTATTGTATAATTTTTCATTTGTATTGTATAATTTTTATTTGTATTGTATAATTTTCCATTTGTATTGTATAATTTTCCATTTGTATTGTATAATTTTCCATTTGTATTGTAAAATTATAGAATACAAATGGAAATTTATAGAATACAAATGGAAAATTATACAATACAAATGGAAAATTATAGAATACAAATAAAAATTATAAAAATACAAATGAAAAATTATACAACATAAATGAAAAATTATTGAATACAAATGGAAAATTATACAATGCAAATAAAAATTATACAATACAAATGAAAAAAATATACAATACAAATGAAATAATATAGAATACAAATAAAAATTTTACAATACAAATGAAAAATTATAGAATACAAATGGAAAATTATAGAATACAAATGGAAAATTATAGAATATAAATGGAGAATTATAGAATATAAATGGAAAGTTATACAATACAAATGGAAAAGATCGAATATTGCAACGTTTGACATGCCATAATAAAGGCCCTACGCGTACTGACAACCCCAGCTGCGGTTTCTTCTCATTAAATTCATAAACATTCTTAACTTGTTTTCTTTCAAAGTACGTACATGTATGTTCAATCATCTATCATCATCTATATTAATCATATTTGTGAAGCATAATTTTATAATTAAAGTTAACGAAACTTAACTATAGTATGAGAAAAAAATTAAAATTCAAAATGTTGTTAATGATGTTTTTACTTTTCAGGATGTTTTGATAATCTATTCGTATATAGTTATTTGTTATAAATTGCGGTTTCTTTACAATAAACATTCATGACTTATTTAAGACACAGAGGCTGATACTGATAACAAGTTATTCGGATCCTAGTTCACACCCTCACTAGCAAATTCCCCAACATAACAAAAATCAAGTACAACAATCTTACATGCACCATAATAATCTGCTGGAGAAGAATCATTTTTGGACCCTCGGTTACAAATTTCAGCAAACTGAAAACATATACAGTCCTGTGTAAGCGTCGTTCATTTAACAGTGGTAGATTTTCAGATGAGTTCAAACCTCCGATATGTTCAGTATTATACGATTTTGATGTGAACCAATTTTTCAAAAGATCTTATTACTAAGACTAAAAACTAATTGTAAAATCTTGCAATTTTTTTCGATTAAAAAAAAAGATTTGGTGAACAAGGCAACCAAAATGCCTATTGTGCGACAAATAAGAAAATGAAAAATTAATAAAATCTCAATTATGACAAAATTTTTCATTTATCATTAACGTACTTTTAAGTATAAATATATAAACTCTTCACAAATCGCAAAAAATCTCAAAAAGATTGATATCTCTGAAAAAAAGCATACACACACCAAAGAGTTCAAAAACGATCACAATTTTCCATGAGTGGTCTTCGCTCTACTTTTTTTTAAAAGGTTATACTCAAAGTGTGCTTATATATATATATATATATATATATATATATATATATATATATATATATATATATATATATATATATATATATATATATATATATATATATATATATATATATATATATATATATATATATATATATATATATATATATATATATATATATATATATATATATATATATATATATATATATATATATAGTAACATTCTTCTGTTAACAAAACCCATTATACCTTAAAAGTATACTTTTATGAACCCACTATAACTTAGAATATACTTTTATGAACATCATTCGTCATATTGAGACACCACCACTTGCCGGTGGAGGTCTGCAAATTTAATCTGTACTCCGTACCTACGGCCTTTGAGCAGTGAGGGTTCTTTTTTTTAGCGCCAGCACCTACTGGAGTTTATACGGTCTTATCCGAATAACCGGTCTTCACGTCACCAAGTGGATTCGAACCTGCGACGAAAGGATCATCTTCTTACTCCGCAACTCTGTTTATAAAAGCAAACGCTCTAACCATGCACTGCGTTATACGAGCGACCACAAATTTTTAACTTTCGGCGAAATATTTGCAGTTACTTTAATCAATTGCAAGTGTCATAAATCACAAACATGATCTAAATACCGATTATTGTTATGAGCGGTATATAGTGTATTGGTTAGCGCGCCAGTCTCGACGAGAAAATTGTTACTCAGGATTTTTATTGCTAGGATTGGAACCCTAAGTATACCACAATTTTTTTTAAATCATAGAATGATTTTTGTCGAAAGTTTTGTTTGTCATAATTCCATACCTTTCAATGATAAGAACTTTACACTTAATAGTCTTATAGTATTCAAAATTTGAATATAACTACATTTTAAGCTATAGCTTTTTGCTTGCCTTGTTCGCTCATCTCCTTTATCAAAACAATACTAACTATAAAACTAGTGTAAAGTCGCAAATAAATAAATATACAATTTCATCTCTATGTATCGTATTATTTTGTAAGATGGGTATAAGAATTTTCGAGCAAGTTCTGTTTCTGTATAATTACTAATCAGATAAAATCATTTGCTTTATATTGCATTGATAGAAAACTTAACCTGCTGATTAAGAGAACAAATCGTTATAACAGGTGTTATAGATCGCGTTATAGATCATTTTGTTAGCTTTTAAAGGTATTTTCACTCCAACGCCCACCCAAATATGATTTTTTTTTTTTTTTTTTTTTTTTTTTTTTTTTTTTTTTTGCTCTGCAAAAGTTTTTAGTTTTTTATTGAGGTTAAAGGTGTCTCATATGAAATAGTTTCTTGCTGTGGTTACTCTACAAGTATATATATGAAGAGAATCGAAAATACATACGTAATGAAATAGATCACGTAAAATATAAAAGAATATCATAAAATATATCTAAGATGTATCTACTATATAGACTTCCTAGGCCAGAATTCGAGGCTTTTAATTTTTTTTTTCAAGACGCCTATTTAAGAAGGAAAACATAAGGTTACGATTTTCAATAACCTGATAATACCATTTGGGGCTCAAATTCTGGATGGTGTATTTTGTGTATAGTGTGATTTTCTATGCCTATCTGAATACACTGATTAAAATACATGTAATATAAATACCATATAAGACCTTTTTTGTACATGTTCATAGAAATACGACATTTTCAAAAACTGCAACAACTTTCAAAATAAAAAAATCAAGGACTTTTGTTTTTATTGTAATCAATATATTTAAAAAAAAAAAAAACAGAAAAAAAACACAATATATATCATCCTGAAACCAAGCCCCTATGGATAGTATGTGCAAGAATTTTGAGGAAGTGAGCACATGTGTTGAATGCTTAACGTTTAGATTGGCGAGAGTGTAATTTGAAATGTACGGTATCGCTGGCTTTTCGGGATTGTCAGATAAAAAAAAATTGAGACCCATTAATATACATTGTTTATTTATATTTATGTATGTAAAGAATAAATGACTCTCTGTTTGTACATGTGCTCAAAATTGTAGAAGCTTCCTGTTAAATAAATATAGAATCAATGTTATTATACATTCATTTATTACTTTAGTGTTTTTAAACATGGAAATCTTGTACATAAAGTAACTTGTTGACATATGGCTCATTGACAGAATAGCATAATTATAGTAAAATAAGAGGCTTATTGGCCTTGTCAGTCTCCTGAGTATCTTGAGTTCCTCTAGATATGATTAACCCAGCCCTGCATCTTTAAACTCATGTGACATGAATTTATCAACATGGTGAGATTAGGTCGCCCTTGGAAGTGACCTCAGTAGACACGAATTTTACACAGTCGTAAAAGGGCAAATAGCTTATTTGGCCACCATGCAAAAAATTGCCTACTACATGTCTAGAAAAAAATATTTAGTTTCATTGCTAAATATCCATGAGTATAAAAGATAATTGTTTACTTATCGATTATATATTAAATTTGATTATTTTCTCCCAATTCATTGGGCCCACGGGATTTTAGGACCAAGAATTTCACAACTTCTTTTCCTATTGCCCATAGAATGGTATACATAAGTACATGTACATGTATATGTATACCTAAATTGGTCCTACCATTTCAAACAAGCAGCTGGAAATGTTCATAATTTACGATCAACAACAATGGACAAGAATGAGAAAACAATAGGTCAAATTCAGGAATGACTCAGGTGACATAACCATATAATTAACAACATGGAAACCTGATTGATCTTCTTGACGTACATGTTCATCTTAGAAGAAGGAAGGTTTTCCTAGCAAGGGCCCATTAGTGAAGAGGAATCTTACGCGGTAACTCATTATGAAGAGAACTTATTGCCATGCATTTTTGGAACTATAGAATTTTCAGTAAAAATTTGCTGTCACATATGGCGTATTATTTGGGGAACAGGACGGGGATAATTACCTGGTAAAATATAAATTTTAGTGACAGTCCGCAACCATATTAATTTTGTGATAACCGCTTCCCTTTGAATTACTGATCAATGTTTTATATTTTACCTCTTAGTAATTGAATTATAGTTTTAACCATCAAATTCTGCAAAACCTCAACTAAACAGTAGAATATCGCAAACAATTTTCTACCCACCACAGAGAATAACGACGCCCAAACCCGCTTCATTTTTAGATTTGGCCAAGAAATTATATTTTATTTTGGCGCGGCATACCCTACCCTCCCCACAGCCTGTTTTACGTACCGGACAACATGAAATACCCAATTTATATATTATGAATAACATGCATAAAATATTATATTAATATATATATATATATATATATATATATATATATATATATATATATATATATATATATATATATATATATATATATATATTATGTTTGTCCCGTTTTGATAAATCAATACTGGCATATGCTATAATGTTTCATTCCATGTACGTCAAAACTTTCATCATGCCACGTGCTTCGGAAACCCAAACTCTGTCTTCTTCATCAACACAAATCGCCATTGGAGCAATGATTTTCCCTGGCATGACATAAAACAGAAATTTTCCTTGCCAGTCAATCACATGAAGAGTATAGTTATGAGGATCCGAAATGACAAAATTGCAGCGACTGTCTGAGCTGATTCCACTGAATCCAAAGTCTGTGAAGGCACTCGATCTGATGCGCCCAGAATATTGAAATCTCTTCCGTCCATTTTTGCGCACAATAGTGACAGTCGCTTTTTCCCTCTCAGTAGCACCTATGTCACCGTTTTTATTTTGACAAATGAACAAAATATTTTCAAAAATAGGCACCTTTTCCTCATCATATTCTATGGCATTTACCAAAGATCCGTTTCTGTCATATTTGGCTATTCTCGAATGCTTCAGGTCTTCACTGAACTCAGAAACGAGAACATTGTCGTTTTCATCACATTGAATTCCCCGGGGTTGCCACCCTTTTGTTTTGATAAAGGGTTGTGCCAATTTGTGGGAGACAGATTTTACAGAACTGTCTCGAAATTCGGTGAAAAATAAATGCCCTGAACTATTCAAGGACAAGAAAGAGGGCTGACTTGTTACAGGTAGTGTATTTCTTGGACTCCCAAGCAGATCGTATTGCATAATAGTCCTGGACCCAAGTCCACAAACCCAAACTGTTCCACCTCTTTCACAGACGATGTCTCCAGCAAAGAATTCTAAGGAAATCTGTTGAATCTGTTCGGGAGTCTTCATTGGTTTAAATCCAAATACTCTCTGATATTTCAATGTCTCAGAAGAAACGACGATTTCCCTTTCCTGTAAGGAACCAACAATAGTCTCGTGGATCTTGTCTAAATCTGCTAAATTTACAGTGTATGAAGGAATTTTATATTCTACAAATTCTGGAAACGTTTCGGGTACAGGTGTAAACTTCTTTAATGGATTTGCTTCCTGGAGCTTTGCAGCGTTACTAACTACCAAATTATTGCGCTTGACAGTTTTATGCAAAAGACGTATTTTTTGTCTGTATTTTACCAGATGATCCAATAGTCTTGTATGATGATTCACTTCCATTTTAGATAATCGTTCAAATTCTCTTTTGAATTTTTCATCAATTGCTTTGTGTACCAATTTTCTGTGGGTCTCCAATTCCTGTCTGATACCATTGTACTTTCCAGGCAGTTCAGATATATTTGTCTTCATTGTTTCAATCATTGACTGACAATTGGGAATGATATTATTCAGAAGCTCCAAATTCTGTTCTTGTATCATTTCAACTAGAACGTGAATATTTTCTGAAATACATCCAGAAATATGCAAGCGATGATTTTCCTCACATACTATACAGAACGAGGTATAACAATCATAGCAGTAAAATGTCGGCTTTTCAACTGACTGACATGCGCACTGGGGAAAGAAATTTTGGCTTCCGTTTCTGTATTTGTAAGGACTTATATCATGCACTTCCGAAGGCTTTAGTACAAAATGATTGGCTGTACATACTTTGCAAAGTCCAATCTGACATTTTCGACAAAAATTGTACACAGGATCTAAACAATGGTTACACAGCTTCATCTTTTGAGCTTGAGTGATGTGCGCCATGCTGTTCAATTGTAACGTTTCCTGCAATAGTAAATCGATTAAAAGGAAAATAAGTGCATGTTAAACTTCAAATTAAACTTAAAATATTGGGATATATATATATATATATATATATATATATATATATATATATATATATATATATATAAAATTTTGCCTATGATATATATTAAAGAGTCTGATACACTGCAATAAACTGCCCCTTTGATAATCCCACATAAAAGAAAAATTTTAAAATGTAGGAAGGAAAGCAAAATTTGAATGGTAACTATTTTAAACATTTAATTTGTATTTTATTTAAAAATTTTCTATACTAAATATACATATTATCCTCTCCGCGGCAATATATTTCAAGGGGGGGGGGTGTCTATTAATAGATTTTTTTTCCCGAAAGTAACATATTTCTGCTGTAATAAAAGCAGTGCGTATTAAACTTGATTTGTTGAAATAATAGAGGAATTCTATCAAGTCAGTTGACCTACACAGATAAGGAAAGCTAACTCGTTTTTGTTTACGTTCATTCAATAGCAATACATGTATATGTACTATTATTAATACTTGTACCTACCGTCTCGATATGCGATTTATCGAAGCGTTATTTTTAAAGAGAAAGATTGTTGACTTTTTTCAAAATGTACAGATACAAACCCCTACGACTCATTCGGGAAATATTCAGGCTAAATTATTTGGTTACTTTGCTTTTAAAAATAAAACTCTTAAGACAGTGTGTATCCCGAGCAAGCGTGTTCAGTGTACAGTGTGTTTATAAAAATTTTTATTTAACATCTTAATATTGTACATTATATCAATTTCTAGGAAAAAGATATATCAGAGAGACTTACCTGCTTTTATTGAAGATACAATGACCCAAGGATAGATGAAGTTGCATTAAGTTTTCTATTTGCTGTGTTAAACACTGTCATGATACTTTAATCATGTCCTTATACCACTTCCTGTTGCGTGATGCGTGATCAAAAGAAAAGTCAAGAGTTATCTGAATTTTCCTTGACTCCATCCTCACTGTATTGTAAAAACAATATTTCTAAAAGTTTATATTAAAGTGTCGCATAAAATTGCTCCAGATTACAATATTTTGCAGTTACATTCTGGAGAATTCATTAATTCTTATAATAAATGTAGGTGTAGCGTATCTTCGAGGAAACAATGATGCGTCCTAAAATCCTCCTCATCAAGGCACGAATTTTCCCGATTATAAGTGCCCTTGGTAGTTATCGGACGTAATGACTACATGAACTAAAAATAGTACCATGAATTTCATACATTATTTTCTAGTGCAAAGACCTCAAAAACCTCGGCTGTATGGTGTTAGCTTGAAAAATTTCGATTGATGCGTTGAATGGCTCTATCAATATAATTTGCTCCTCTTTACTCACTTTTTTCCGTTGTTTTAATTATAAAAAGGATGCATTTTCCAGCTAAATTTAAAGATATATAGAAGGATTTTGTACATTTAAATTTGTAATAAATATCAAAATCTAGCCAGAATTACTCAAGCCTATGCATGCATCTTATGTTCTATAAAAAGTCAACAAATTAAAAGTCTGCAATGTTCGACTCCGTAGTGACTAAGGTTTTTGAAAGAGAGGTGGTAAACGTAAAGTTTTGAATCATCCGTTGGCCCCAAAAGAGGACTGGGATAATAAATTCAAGTTCCAGTTTTGTTTTGTCCATAGAATGCTGAATGTACATTTTAAAATCAATCTAGGCATCTCAGAGAACAGATAGCAAAAGGTTATATGGTGACTAATGTGATATAACTTTACTTATCGTACAAGGACATGTAATTAACTCTATGGATAACAGGATCATTCCAGCAGATACATGTGCATGTAGTATAATTGTATACACTGAAATGTAGAGTATTAGTGTGTAACACTTTGCGGATGCACTGTAAATCAAAGAGGGTGTAAAGAATATTGTTTGGTAAATTTTAATTTCATAACAGCGAATATCTATATACGTATACCCCTTCCATTTTTTAATTATAGACCTGAGTTGATACATGTATATGTGCACCCCAAAGTAATTGATTTTAATAATTGTTTAAACTATCCTAACACCCTTAAAAATTCTGCAAAAGGAAAACACATATACATATATACACTGTATATACACACAACAACTCTCGCTACTTTCTAAAGATAAAAGTGTTTGGACGATACCCCTTTTTCTTCCGGATTTTGTTAGGATAAATACATGTAACACTTACACTATATTTCGCTATGTCACCCCCCCCCCCCCACACACACACACACACCAACCCTCATCCTGCGGTCAGTATTACTTGCAGGAGACCATATAAATGTACTAGTACATGTATATAGAGTTGATAATTGCCAAAACCGTCTCGGGTTATTTGTTATTTACTGGTAAAATCTATAATTAAGATAAGAAGACTTTACGTCTAAGTTTTCCATCGTTAAATATATCAATATCGCCAAGAATAAGTTTCTCAGTCCATGTAAGTCAAGACTTTCATAGTGCGACGTGACTCTGCAACCCAAATTCTATCTTTTTCATCAACACAAACCGCTATCGGGGCAATGATGTCCCCTGGCATGACATAAAACAAAAATTTTCCTTGCCAGTCAATCACGTGAAGGGTATAGTTACAACGATCAGAAATAACATAGTTACATCGACTGTCTGAGCTGATTCCACTGAATTCAAAGTCTGTAAAGGCACTCGATCTAATGCGCCCAGAGTATTGAAATCTCATCCTTCCATTTTTGCGCACCACAATGACAGTAGCCTTTTCTCTCTGAATAGCACCTATGTCACCGTTTTTATTTTGACAAATGAACCATATATTTTCGAAGATAGGCACCTGTGCTTCATCATATTCTATGATGTTTATCAAGGAACCGTTGCTATCGTATCTTGCAATTCTCGAATGTTGCAGGAGTTTGCTGTACTCAGAAACGAGAACATTATCGTTTTCATCGCACTGAATTCCCCGGGGTTGCCATCCTTTTGTTTTAATAAAAGTTTGTGCCATTTTGTGAGTGACATATTTCACAGAACTGTCTCGAAATTCGGTGAAAAATAAATGTCCTAATCTATTCAAGGACAAGAAAGCGGGCTGACTTGTTACAGATAGTGTGTTTTTTGAACTCCCAAGTAGGTCGTATTGCTTTATATGTCTGGACGCGATTCCACAAACCCAGACCGTTCCATCTCTCTCACAGGCGATATCTTCAGCAAAAAATTCTAAAGAAATCTGTGAAATCTGCTCGGGAGTTTTCATTGATTTTAATGCAAATGTTTTCTGATAATTCCGTTTGTCTGGAGAGACGACATATCCCCCCTCCTGTAAAAAACCAACAATGCTCTTGAGCATTTTATCTAAATCTGATGATTGTACAATGTACGAAGGAACGTCATCTTCTACAAATCCTGCAAAGGTTTCAATAGGTGTAAAAGTCTTTAATGGATTTGCTTCCTGGAGCTTTGTAGCGTCCCTAAGTACCAAATTATTGCGCTTGACAGTTTCACTCAAGAGATGCATTTGTTCCCTGCTATTTTTCAGATGATCCAACAATCTTGTATGGTGATTATCTTCCATTTCAGACAATTTTTCAAGTTCTCTGTTGAATTCTTCGTCAATTGTTTTGTGCACTATTTTTTTGCGCGTCTCCATTTCCTGTCTGATATCATTATACTTTTCCGGCAGTTCCGAAATTTTTTTCTGCACCTCGTCCATCATTGATTGACATTGGGGAATAATATTGTATAGTAGCTCCAAATTTTGTTCTTGTACCAATTCAACGAGAACATGTATGTTTTCTGAAATACATCCGGAAACATGCAGACGATGATTTCCCTCGCAGGTTAAACAAAACGGGGTGTAACAATCATAGCAGTAAAACGTCGGCTTCTCAACTGACTGACATGCACACTGGGGAAAGAAATTTTCACTTCCTGATCGGTATTTGTAAGGAACAATATCATGCACTTGCGATGGTTTTAATACAAAATGATTTGCTGTGCAAATTTTACAAACTGCGGTCTGACATTCTCGACAAAAATTGTAGACTGGATCTAGACAATAGTCACAGAGTTTTATCTTTTGAACTTGAGTGATATGCGCCATTCTGTTTAATTGTAACGTCTCCTGGAATGCAAAGCGAAATTAAATTAAGAGGGAAAAGTGCACCTAAAAATTAAGATTACTTATACTCATAGTTCTCTTTCTAAGGAAGAAATTCTTCAAAATCATATGTCAGTTTTGAATATTTTTAATATTCCAACAACCAAAATGAATTTGAATTACCATATCTATATTTGATTCCGAAACTTCATAAAGATCCTTACAAACAAAGATACATAGCGGGTTCCAGTAAATGTTCAACCAAGCCTCTTTCTTTACTCCTCACTAAGATATTACTAGTAGTGAAAGGGAAACTTCAAGAGTACTGTGCAACAATATATTCGAGA